TGCTGTCGTTTCTGGGAGTTTACTCAACTAACCATCGTCAAAGCGTCAAATATCCAAAGTCGAACATAAGTCCGAATGGCTTTCCGACCTAGCCGGTTTTGTACTAATCGATTTTCTTTTTTTGCCGCCTCGACTTTTCGCAGACTGCCGTTGGGTTTGACAAATACTAGTTACCATCTTGATGGAGGATACGGAAGCCTCTGTGAGGCTTGTTTGCTCTGGTAGTCACTTTGTCTGCCCGGCGCGTGAGTTCGTTGTCGGGCAGTATCTGATCGATCTTATTAATTTAAGTGCGACCGTTTTTTCATGGTCTTTGTCTAGGTAATGACCTAGTACTTCGTAGGCCGGAGGAAATTTGGCATGCATGTTGAGGTTGGCTCCACTGTAATGTCACTTCTGTTTTACAGTTTTATTCTTGATGTTTAGTGTCAATGTGGAGTGGTGAGTTAGATGATTGCCTTTCCGAATTTTATCTATGAAGTGTAGGAGAACAATGAGGTTCGGTACAGTCAGAACGCATGATTCTTGCATAATCTACTAGAAATGAGGAGAGATGATATTAAAACACCGACTATGCAGAAAGATCGAAATCCTGCGGCTGGAAACTGTTTTCGTTAGTAGTCAACTACTTATATGTGCTCCATGCGTTTTCGTGTTTTGTCTTAGATATTTCGTTTACTCGGTTTCTTGGAATAGTTTCCACAAGTCTTCATTCAGTGGTTAATCACCACAAGATGTGTTGTACTAGTATCTTTCCTGACTAGCTAAGGGTATCCAGGAGTTGCCTTTATAACAACTGACATCCGGCTGGTTCGATCACTTGAAGGTTGGCGCATTATCGGCCGCCGGTTGGCCTTGGGCCGTTGCCCTTCTCTCGGGACAAAGTACGCTTACCATGGTTGGTTAGTCGCCTATTGGGACCTGATTTGAACCGAACATAGCGGCCACTTTCGAGCTCGGTTGAGTTCGATTAGAGTTTTATTACTATCAGAATATCGTGGAGATCGATGAAACAGTTATAACGTACGATAAGAACGCCCTTCGAATTGCACTTGTCTGTTTGAATGAAGTGGACACTTTTGGCGCGGATCCAGGGTGGAGATGGTATAACCGCGTGTCTGTGAAAATATCCGGCACCCCTTCCCCACACGATCACCGAATCCCTTCTCGCAACATTCGTCGCAACGTTCGTCCCGCTCACTATGCTCGCACCTTCCAAGGCCCTCCCTTGCAGCTGCCCACAGCGCTGCATTCCCCACTGGTAGTGCAGATTAACAAAAGAGGGTTAAGGCAGGGCAGGAATGCGTGCGCGCGGTAGCGTGGGAAGGCAGGAAATGACGTTCAAGCGTGAACGTGCGAAAGCAAGCCCACCGCCCTATCGATTGTACTCGATAGCTTATCAGTTTACCCCCATTCGAGTGCGCTCATGGGAACCTTGCTGCTACGACCGCAGCCATCCACTCACAGGCCAGCTTCGATTGGGACGCGAGCATCGAGATGATCCGCGTGTCCTTGCTATTAGGGTAGTAGGCACGTCGGTTTCACCTCTTCATACAGACGGGCCACCTCCCCGATTTGGCTAATCTTTTCTTGTGCCACTGAATATTGCTAAGTATACACAGTTGCTGTCCGTCTCTGTTATATATATGCTCGCTAAATTCTTCTGCCTTGTCGTCTGGATGAGTGAAATGACGTGCCTAGCAACTCTCCCAGCTCGTTCTAAGCCAGGAGTTATTTCCAGCCTTTAACGCTATCCAGCGTGTGCTACCCTCAACGCCTTCAACCGCTACACGGTAGCAACTGTGATTTCGTACTTGGAAAATATCGTCTCAACTAACCGGGTCTTTGTTCCTCAAACACGCTACTCGTCAGTAAAGTGTTTCTGATCTACAACTTTGTCAGTCTTTGACCTTTTTTAATCTTTAATTCCACTTTATTAACAAAATAATGTGTTCGTCATAAATAATCATTTTATGTCAAACAACTATCATTCAGCCGTGATCACTGCTGAGTTGAGATATTTATCGTTAGGTTCTGCCACGAACGCATTGCGCATGACAAGCGGAAAGTTGTCTTGACTAAACAGAGGGGCACAGCTCAGCAATGCCCAAAACCAATGACTTAGAAAAATAATCTTATCGTAAATTAGGAATGAGAATTTTAAGGATTGTTGTATAAGAAAAGACCCTATAAGTATACAAAATTATAAAGGCCTGACTTTTTATTTTTATAAGGATCGCATACGAGTGACCGCCGGTTCCGTTAGGAATAATTGTTAAGGAAGTGGGATTATATGCGGCACTGCACATCGTCCGGATACCTGTTATAATATTATTCCATTTGGGCTGGTTAGCAGGTCGAAAAACACTAGGAATACATTTCCTTAAGTTACTGCAACAACAATCGTTCTCGCCTTTGCAATAGGGTCGGCGGGACAACAAAAATGCTGAACAATGTAATGCTGTAGATTTCGGTGTCTAACAGCGACGTACAATCGGCACTCGTCCGACGGAAGTATACCACATGGCCGGAACCATTGATGCTCAATCGGCAGTAAGAAAAAATTGACTGATCAGTAACTGAAATGTGCTTCTATTCTCATGTCCGCCATACTTTCCAAGTATCCGCTACTTCTGGCTATACAGTCACCGATTCTGCCGCGTAATAGAACCGGAAGCCTGGATATAACTGCACTGTGCACTTGAATCCAAAAACCACAGATCACGTTCGGGCATTCTCGGACTAGTCGAAATCTTTGCCATACTCTTATCACAACTTTGCGGCCGGGCAAGTGCACAGTGTGCATTGCTACATGCACTGGCGGTTCTCTTGGGGAAAAGACGCGATTGGTGGGACAAGAATCTTATTCGTCTAACGTTCCGAACTCGCACTCGAACCCATCATGTGAAACAATCAAAAATAGGGACGATGAACACACAAGTTGGTTGTATTCGCCATGTGGTCGCATACCTACTTACTTGTACTTGATACGGCTGCGATCATGCCTGATCTAGCCGGCCTCGATGATGTCCCGAATTGTACCTCTCCAAGCGTGACGATCCGCGGCAGCAGATCTAGACAGCTCAACCCATTCCCTGAGTCAATGACGGGAACCAAATACCGAAGGTCCAAGAACCACCTCCATGTCTTGACGGACAGTGTCGAGCCAGGTTTTGAACTGACCCCCTCTTCGACGCCTCCAATGGGGCAACGGTGCCGGATCGAGGGCAGTAACACTGAGTTTACTTGCCAACGCTGCCTTGTTGTTAGGTTTTTAAGCCAAAGCGCTAGAGGAGACAACCTCGAACAAACAATCCGAGCGGCTGTTGGGGACCCGCCCGTATTCGAAATTCCCAAGAAACCTCATGCAACATGTCCGATCACTGGTCGCATACCTATCATAATTAGCAGACCGCGCAGTCATCATCAGTGTACTTGGGGAGATTATTGCTTGCTTGCCAGTACTCAAATCGTCAGTTGCTGCAGTTTCATCACCAGTGTTGACTCTCGGCTATTTGACTCACTGATACTGTCACTGGGGGCGCCTGATGGCCGCCTAGGTTCTTTGTGCAACCCCAATTCTGGGTGCTGCGAGAAGACGGCTGACGACCTCTGAGGTGTTTTTGAGGTACGGGAGCACTTCGAAATTTGGGGTCGACACGGTTCGGTCTCACGTCTTGCTCGTGTATGCACCGGTTGGAAAGGTTGCACTGCTAGCCATTCCATCCGAGCATCCACTGGAGGTAATGCAATTTGGCAACCTTGTCTTTTGATTCGCTACAGTGCGTCCCATCATCCCGATGTGGCGCGCTTACGTATATCGTTTTATAGCTGATTGTGTGGTCGCTGCTAAAACTCAGTACTTGAGTCGAATTTATCGTCTTCTGGAACACCACAGTCTGCGACGGATGGGGACATCGAGGACGGCAACCTGGTTGTTTTTCCCTCCTCCTTCGTAAGCTATATGTCGGGGAATATATTTAAGGTGTCGTCTGAATGTCAGGACTTGATCCAATTCAATGACGACAAAGGTATCATCCACATACCGAGTCCACAATACCAGCCTATGGTGTCTAAAAACCGGCGAATCCAACCGTTGCAGAACTATGAACTACCAGTGCATCAGAAGTTGACTTACCTGCGGTGTCGTGTGAAAGACTTCCGGACAAAGGCCGAGTGGTTGGCGATTTTGCGCGAAATTTACAGACTTCCTTCTCTGTGAGGTGGGGGGACGACGACTCTGGAGAACGAGAGGGACTACCGTTTGTGATTTCGTCGATGTCGGGTCTACAAATCGTTCGTGCAGACACGTCTGAACACCCTTTTCCCCATAACTGCTGTTAACTGACTGTTTTCACGCTCCCCTGCTGTCGTAACTTACTGGTATTATTGTGCGAGTCTGATGATAAGTAATCGATAATATACGTTCGCCAAAGTTGGCTTCTTCGACGTTCAGATGGGCAACATCACAGAACCTTTCCCTTATGACAGTAAAGGACCTTCGCCTTAACCACTTCCGTCCTTATAGACCCGAGGGCTCATAGGCCGTATTTCGTTGTGTCCAGTACTAGGCGTTAGTGGTCCTCTTTGTTGACTTCCGTGGCGCTCCAGCAAGGCAGGGTACAAAGTGTAAGCGGTACCAATCACTGTGAACGGTGTCTGTATCCGCTTTTGGAGTTATGTTTGGGATGCAGTCATACAGTGGACCTCTAGCTTGCCTTTGTGGCTCGCATATAAGGTTCCCATGCATCATGTTAGAAATCCCTTAGAGGTCTCCACGTCAAAACCTGTTAGACCCCTCAAGTTTTATGGAGACTCCACCACTCATTCTCCCCTGATATTGACTGTAAAAATTGTGAGCGTAGCTTTGTCCCGCCTTCTCCATTTTATACTTGGTTCGCTTTGCGACAAATTCAACCGCGCTTCCGATTGGAAGACTTACTTTGACTTTTTTAACTAGCTGCATCAAACAAAACTTCTGCATTTTTTTCTTAGTCTACATGCTGGTCATTTCATCTCAAGACTGTTATCGTGGTGCATGCAACAACTCTGAATCTACGACCACCTTCCAAGGGCTTTTGGAATACTTTCACTATGGAAATCAAGGAACAAACGACCAAGTCTGAGCCGGTAATTCATGACAAATTTTTTAGGGATGGGGTTGTGGTTACCGGACTCTTCAAACACTTCTCTCGTGGTTTCTCTTAAACACATCGGTCCGCTTTGAGATGCCCAACCTCCTGGACATTCAGGAAATACTAGTAAATATCGGAGATAAGCCGCCGGCGTTTTACCGCTCCAGGGAATGGATAGGATCGGTCGAAGCCAGCATGGTTATTTCAACTCTTACGAAGGTACATGGAAATGCATGGAGTCTAAATACTCAAGGTAGATTGCAGGATTGTGAACGTCCCACAGGGGAAGTTTGGCACCAGCCACATCCAGCAAATAAAATCCCACTTGCTATCTCACGGCTCACCAATAATGCTGGGTAACGGCACTCCTCCCATCACCGTGACTGCTTTTAGGTGGAAGTGCTGACTGCTCATCGAAGTGCATCCTTGCCGTAAAGGACGAGGCCCAGAGTGCTGCGGCCCTCCTAATCCTCGTGAGTGTCCATCTTACCTATTGCCAACTTTTAGAGAACGGCTGACCACCGCTTGGCACAAGCAATACCACTAATAGTAGTTGTTCTGCATACACGATCAATTTAAAGTGCCACCTTTCAACTCGTTAACCGCTTTAAAAATGCGACGATCTCTTGGCTTAAAGACAACCACCACGAGAATAAGTTTCCCCGTACTCCTCATCTTCGAGGAAACCTGCCTTAAACACAACACCGCCTTCGGACATCAGTAATTCTCTGAGCGCTGTTGGTTGGAGAACAGAAAGTTAGTAAACAGCAGTAGTTTAGGCCGAAATGGGTTTCGAACACCAAAGTTTTTACGTCGTCCGGTCAGAGCAGGACGCTACGCAACGTGCAGCCTGACCTCTGGAAACATTTCTAGCCGCGGCACACGACGGAAGAAAACTCTTATCCCACCGCATTCAGCGGTTACACCGTTGGCTGTTCTAAAGCCTTCCCCTTGCCGCGTGGGTTCGAATCCCACCGAGGCGACGAGTTTTTCACAGTTGGGTCAATATGAATTATTCGAAATCTGCCAAAATATATATGCAGACGTAATTGGCTATAAAATGAGTACACGAAAAGATATTGTGGTGATGCTTTCTACTACACATTCTTAGATTTATCATGACGCCGGAAATGAGAGAGGAAATGTCATACCACTTAAGTACAACTTTTGCACATTTCGAAGCCGGCATCCTGACATGACTGAAATATTTCCGGATCATGCTGCCCAGTAAGCAATATTGCAACGCCAAGTAAATCTTTCTAGCCGGAGTTCCAGTTAGTATCCCGTGAGTTACGCTGTCTGTTTTAGTCGTCTACCGATCCCAAACGCTTTGATCCAACGTGGACCGGTTACTCGGAGTCTGTTGAAGACGAAGTAGCGAGCAGTCCACTACTTGCAATAACTCAGTCAGAAACCACACAACCTTGAGAACAAACACCTGGATGACGTAATGACTATTAATCCCGGCAGATCTTCGAATGCGGTTTGACTGGCATGCTTTTCGTCATAGCAATATGCAAAGTCGTGAGAAATTCGCCTAGACGATGGAGATTCGGAGTGATACAGTTCACCAGAACTTATGTTTGACCCCCCCCCTTGTGAAAACTATCTCAATTTGTGGAAGATGTTGATGCAGTCTACGGCCCACTCGAAGCGACGGAATAGGTAACAGCGGCAAAGTACTTAAGGACCAAGACGAGAACCAATTATTTATCTTGCTGGCGAGCCAAACGACTGCTTCCGCTCAGGAATGCAAGCGCTGTGCTGTATGCTGTCTTGACACTCCATTCGAATACCTGGAAAATGTCCCAAACATGCAACTTTTAAGAAATCAGAGGCAAGTAGGCGCACAGCTGCGGAAATAGGTGACGGGAGTGAACACCTTTGTTCGTCAAGTGACTTTGCCTCCCTGGATGGCTGGTAGAGGCAGCCGCAACCACGGACACACAGCCCGGCGGGACATCTGGAATTTTTCACAGAATACAGTTTGCCCGACACTGCTCTAGAGTTACGTAAACCAGAAAGTGCACTAGTCTCGATAGCCATCAAAACGACATTGTAGTCTTCACCTCAAAATATTGTCACTTAACACTTTTGATTATCCCACCCCACAGGATCCCCATTTCTACTCCAAGAGGACCGCCCCCGATGTAGAGTCGCTGTGGCGAGACGGATGGCTTCGGTGGTACAACACGGAAAGTTTACATGAAACACATTTTTACAACATGTGCATGCCACTGGCACACACGGACATAAAACGCATATGAAGAAACATAAAACTTATGACAAATCTTTGCAAAACTTGTCGTACATTTCTTTCAGTATAATGTAGGACTCGCGGTACCGTTCCTCATTTTCTCGACATGCGCCTTTCCACCTAAAAAAACACGCAGTAAAAAAGTGACGTGCTTAACGCAGCTTAGACAAAATAACAGAGGCCTTCTTTTAGGATGCTTTTTGACAGCTTAGACCAAAATGAGTAGATGTCAACCGTATCTGTCGTAATGCATCGACTATCGCGCATCTTTAAAGCACTGGTACTTCCGACTGTGCAAGCACTGCCTCGACACGTGGAACTTAAAACTGCCGATGACCTGCTATCGAATGCGGAGACAAGCTGTTACAAGCAGTCACATCCTAGAAAACCTATAAAAGCACATCTAACGTCGTTCGCGGTAAACGAATTACGCCGGTGACCCGTGGTGATCGGAGACTTCAGGCCAATGGTATAACATCAAGTGCATGGATATTCCGTCTTTGATAAAACCGAATTCAGTCTTAAGAAAGTGTTCACCTCAATTTATTTAGTTAGCTCCATGTTGAGAATGAACCATGTCACGAACGACAGCCTTCAATTAGAGTCGGTCGTCGGCAAACGTCCGAAGTTTGGCCAACTGACGTACCAACTCTGCTGTACTAGTTTCCATCACGCTCAGCGACATCTGAAGTTGACCACTCGGCGCTGTCGTCAGCTGGGACCAAGGTAGGGGGAAATGACACCTGGGTGCTTTTGCTTTCAAAGAGTACATCGCAATATCTGACCTCCCCAATCGGCGAGCAAGGACGGTATGTCTTACGTGGTGCATTCCTTTTTCTTATCAGTGAGAAACAATAGTGGTTTAGCTGGCTTCAGAGTCCATGACAGCAGGTTCACCCGACGTAATCGTTGGCTGGCTCTCCATTAATCGCCCGGTTGAGTTTTCACTTCCGAGGCATGAGGGCACTGTTCTAGCTGGACGTTTTGACATCTATAGGATACTGTCACTGAACCGAACTTATCGCATAGTTGAAGGCAACCAGTGAGGACCTGATTCTATGGATGAAGTACGGTATTTGCCGTAAGCTTGGGTCTCGACTTGTGTGGGCTGACAGTATAACCTGATTATTTTTGAGTTCAGGAGTACATCATTATAATCCAGGGCCCTCCAAGAAGTTCCGGTCGATTTGCTTACAGGGAGTGGAAACAACAAAACTCGGTTTGGCACAAACTTGTCGAAATGCCTTTTTAAGCCGTTCAAATATAATCCTACGACAGCTTGTAGACTTAAATTGGCGGTTTGCTGTCACTCGTTCCGAAGGTTGTTCGAGTTTACACAGGACTGTGGTGCAGTTAACAGTTTTCCAGGAACAGTTGTGTCAAAGGTGTTTCCGGACGCGTCCAAGGTTAGCGGGTTGAGCAACTCCTACGGCTGCGATCACCGCCCGCTCAGTCCTCGGTCTTGACCGCATGACTACTGCACTATCGAAACCCGTGGCGCATTGGGCCCTACGTGTCACCGACAGCTGAGATTTGCTCAAATTCCACGGGTTAGTTCTTGTCAGTTTTGGTTGACCGTTTGTCTAGCAATGAAGTGTTCCGGAGCTTAGGTCTCTGGAATTTCCAGTGAACCAGTCATCACTAAACAGTCGGATGGTGTTGGTCGAAATCTAGTCTTCGTGTTTGAACCGGTTTTAGCTTGGGGGTTTCGGCGAAACTTAAGTAATAACGTTTGTGGACAGTGTGTACTCACTTACGCAAAGCTGTTGAGCATCGTGATTTCATGGTAAAGCTGAGCAACCAGAAGCGTCGTAGTGAAGACGGTTGCTATGACCCGGAACTTGAGGCGGAATGGCTTTTCGAGAATGCCCTGAAGTGCGAGCGCAAACTCGCCCTCACTAGTGTGCGTTCCAGTTATGCTCGCGAGCACACACTGGTGGGGGGAGCTTGCATTTGCACTTCAGGGCATTTGCGAAAGCCACCCCACCTCAAGTTCTATGTCCGCGCACTGACCGGCAGTCGAGAAGTTTATTTGCCGCAAATGTGCGGCATTCTTCGCGCTATTTGAATACCCGGTCAGCAGGTGTCTTCGCGGGCACTAAAACACCAATATCAGCCTACTGCCTTCGAAAAAAACCAATAAAGTGGTTGCCACTGCCCAGTCTACTACTGATAAACTCAGAAGGGTGGTGGGTTGTCGAATCAACGCTACTCAACAAATAGTCTTCGAGAGCGATTTCAGCTTCCGGATCTTGGGTTAGAAGGCTATGTGGCCCACCAGATAGCATGACTAGGCAACACTTTTGGGTATCTGCTGGACGGATGTCCTTGCAAAATGCGTTGTCCCTTGGATCTGCTATCATATCGAGGGTCTTTGTTGATGGAGTGCTGCGGTCGAAACTGTATACGAAGGTTGGAGAATCACCAAGGTGAATAATGCTGACGAAACAGACTGTCAGACTTAAAGTAGGGAAATGTTCGTCGGTGTACCGCGCCCGTACTTGACAATACAATCGCATCCTTATTCCCTCTGAGTGCAGAGACGGACGGGCTAGAGTACTTGCATATCTTCAAAGGTGGTCACAAGCTGTCTGTACCTCCTCTGGTTAAGTGCATCATAAATCTCGAACAGTTGTATTTTGGTTGGTCATGGTTGTGTCGTGCGGAGTCCGTGGTTGCAGGACAGTTTCCTGGAGTTCATATTGTTCTGAAAGTTAGCTGTCACTATACGACTGGCCGGCTGCACTGCTTCACTAGGGATCCTATCTTTGTGGAGACGCCTGTTGTGATCTAACAACTCCGGCGAGGTGTGCCTCAGTTCAAGACAGATATTTTTGATTGAGTGCCTTTCAGAGTTAACTTCGGTCAACGTCTGCAGAGAGTAACAGACAACCAAATAAAGATCTGTGGTACTGACAGGATCCTCGTGGCAGTCGACAGCATACTTCCTTGCATATTGCGTACTGTTAGCAACACGATCTACGACGTAACCGAACCCTCACAAGATCATGGACAAGTCCAGTCTCGCTGCCAAGGTCGTCACCACGATTTGGATGGCATTAGCAAAGAGCCAACGTAGCGTGCCCGGACAAGCAAGTAGGCAATTTGGTGTCCAGTGTGGTTATTATGCGCGAAGGCAAGTCGTTTCAGCGCAGTGAAATCGGCGAGCATGTTATTATTTGTGCCACGGATTCCCATGACATAATGCCAAATATTCATCAACGCGTGCATCGCTTTCCGTCCGGATGTTCGAGTTCACCGCAAAGAGCTAAACATTGCGATGTGTCTGGTTCTTGTTCTCGATATTTCCTAGGTGTCTTTGTGTGCGTCAGCGTCCTGCACTTAGGACGTGGACCACAACTGCAACGTTGAAAACGGTATAATACACAACCAAAATCATCGGTGACGACGGTTCCCGCCGCATGAATAAAGCTTCTTGACGACCTAATTGCAAAATACGAAGTAAACAGACACTGGCTGCGGTCGGTCATTCTTTGCCTACAGAAAAAAATACTTTGAATATGATGAGTTTCAATTACTGCTTTAGTTGGTGCCGCTAGGAGCTATAAGCCAGTCTATAAACTATTTGCAAACGCGCATGCAATCGGGACGGATGTGAAACGCATATCCCGATGAGACTAAAAAGCCATGAGCGGAAGGCTGTGAGGCTGGGGTACGGCATAAGGAATCAGTGTGTCAAAAGGCGCTAGTGAAGCGGGAGCCTTGTGATAAAGGCTGAGGCTTAGGGAAAAACGGGCACTTTACCCATCAGAACATGCGTAATCAACTCACTTTCTTCGAATTTCCCTCCATCTTGTTATGTGCTGCTCCAGAAGGCCTTCAGGTGACATTTCTTTCGGTGGGTTCTAGAAATAATCGTTCAAATTCGCCTGAAACCGGAAAATTACCTCAACGTTAATTACAAAAGGCTGACCGGGTGACGGGAGGGGTGGAGGAATTCGCACTTCATTGTCGGACAGACCATCGTTGGGCTTAGGTAAGGCATAGTGGCAGTCAGGCAGCTGGTCGTTCCCCTGTAAGGTAGGAAAAGTGTAGTCATGAGATCGTCCCGCTAGACCTATAGAATGACGTAAAGGTGACAGGTCGAGCCAGTTCACGGCTGACGCAGCTTCATTTAGTTAAGTGGACGCATGCAACTCCAGCAGGGGGCGTGCGAAGTGCAGACAATTGGAGGATTACCTCGCGCTCCTCTTCCTGGTTTGGGATGTCATTCCATGACGAGGTGTCACTTTGGTTTAAATTTCTAATCCAGGCCCGGGCCATCGGGTATAGTGGAGAATTCTCTCCAAACTGTCCGAAGTCAACGCTGCGCTCAAAAACTTTGATGACAAAAGACTCTAAAGAAAGATAAGAGACATCACAGACTCCTACCTTTGTAGTTATCCTCTTCGTCGGAGTTTGGGCCGCGTTTGCGGCGCTTAATTTCTCCACCACCAACTTTGTAAAGTGGAGATCTGAATTTGTCCTTATCAAGTTCTTCTTTACGATTAACGACTTCGTCCTTATATTTCAAGCTCTCCTTGCTACGAAATCGTCTTAATAACTTAAACGGACACTTTGTCTGGATTTTCTTGGTAGGCATATAGGATTTGGTCAAGATTTTCTCTTGCAAGGGAAACGTCGGCTTCTGAGAGACGAAGTGAAAATTAATGTCTACAAACCGTCGGGCTCGGGCCACCATGCACGCTCGTTCCAATTGGACGCCATACTTCGAGGCGACTCTAGAGATGATGCTGTAGCGGCCGAGGACGTCAAGGGTAGCGCACAACCACGTAACGGAATACCGAGGAGGAGATCCTGGCTTGTGTTGATCTGAATACGATTGTTAGCAGTTCACGATACTCATCCATACATAAAGGAAGAAGAAACGATCGGCGGACGAGAAGATATAATGAACAGAAAAGGGAATTGCAAAGGAGTATAATGACAGTTAAGAGTACAAACAGGATGAGTTACAACAGTCGAATGACCTGTCTGGGTGGAGAGGTGAGGCCAACATGCCAGCTGGACAACCGGTGGGGAGCGCAGCGCTGGGGGCAACTGCAGGGAAGGGCCGAGGGAGTTGCCGATGTAGTGAAGGCAGCGGTACGAACGTTACGACACGATACGGAGCGGGAGAGGGGATCGGCGGAAGAGAGTGGAAGGGGCACCGGCCATCTTCACCAACATGCGGCTACGCCATCTCCATCCTAGGTCCGCGCGCCAAAAGTGTCACGGCATTCAAACAACCCTGTACAGATCACGGGACGTTACATAGCCTCCTCCTGAGATGCAGCACTGTCCTCAGTGCTGCTGGAGTTGGAGCTCGGAAGGGGGGAGAGGTGTGCGCTCCTCTCCATCCCACCGCTGCCACCAATGTAGCGGCCGAGGACGTCAAGGGTAGCACACACCGGAGTAAGGAAACGCCGAGAAGGGCTCTTGGCCGGGATAGACCTGAACGGAGCTGTTAGCATTCCTTGATACACATCCATACACAGAAGAAGAAGGCATGTCGAATAAGAGATAAAGTGTAATAATACGAGGTTGCACGGGGAATCGTATAATAATCGTTAATAGTACAAGTAGGACGGTTACATCGGTAGAATGACCTGTCTGGGTGGAGAGACGATGCCAACATGCCAGCTAGTAAACCGGTGGGGAGCGCAGCGCTGGGGGCAACTGCAGGGAAGGGTCGAGGGAGTGCCGATGTAGCGAGGAGGCGAGCGGTTCGGACGATACGTTGCGTTACGGTACGACGAGGGGGAAAGGGATCGGCAGAAGAGAGAGGGAGGGACACCGGTTATCTTCACCGACACGCGACTTCGCCATCTCCACCCTAGGTCCTCGCGCGGAAAAGTGTCACCTCATTCGAACAACTCTGTCCAAGTCCAGGGGCGTTACAATGCAGGGGTTTACACTTGGCGGTTCTTCATTCGAGGCACATTCAACTTACGCCAGTTCAGATAAACGAAGACATCTTTATTCAAACCCCAGCATTAGGGTAAATTAGTACCTGACGCACAGGATTTAGTCGGGAGTTCGGGTTCCTAGATATTCGGAAGTATCGATGTAAACTTTCTGGAAAGACTGAGAGGTGTTTTGTGTCGCCTTCCGTTGGTGGTGGGCGGACTGAAAAACCCCGTCGTAACAAACTATTTTAAATTTTTCGTCCTGTTTTATATTTTACCTGAAACTAAAACGTTATTAGGAAACCTTAACGTAAGTTCACTGAATGTGCTGTTCGACTCCACCATTTTGGTACGGTTTCTGAAAATGTATATGCAACCGGTTAGTCTGAGTTAGACTCAAAGTCATCCGACGACTAACAATTACTGAATGCCATATTGAATCTGTGTTAAAACCTTCATCTGTATAAGACCCGAACTGGGCGACAGGGAACAATTTGCAAATATAGGGGTAAATGGCTGCGGATGCGCATCTTTTTACCTGCAGATAAAAAGTGAAGGTGACAGTGACCCACGTCCGTCAGGCGCTGCTCGTACGTAAAATTTTTGATTTCATGAATAGCCTTTGTAGGATGTCGCTATGCCCCTTCAAGAATACCTATACCCTCCCGAAGCCATGGCCGCCAAACCTGTACTGCATATTCCAGGTGCGGCCGTAAATATGCCCCATATATCTTACCAAGGACATCTGCATTCAAGTTAATAAAAGTTCTTCGTATTGCGCTCATACTTGACATTGCCCGCCCTGCAACTTTAAAACACTGGGTGGTGACGCTTAAGTCAACGTCAGCGAATATTTCAAGATTTTCTTGCACATATACGGTTCCAAGTGGTTGACTTTCCAGGAAATACTGTCGTGAGGGTGCATTTATTCCTTGCCCTGCTGATATTGTGTGCATTAGCACACACTTTTGACGTTGAATTTCATGCACCATTTCTCGCTCCATGCGTGCAAATTCTCCTTGTCCTCTCGTAGCACCTTGGCGACTTTTTCATCTTTTACCACCCTCCAAAGTTTATGCTCGTCTGCAAAAAGCGCTATGTCCGATTTCACTTCCCGTACTAGATTATGTACATAGATAATGAATGGGACCGGTCCAAGAACGAGCCCTTGAGGGACTCCACTTTCAACAGGCACCCATTCGGAGTAGTAGCCACCCACAGTGACTTTTTGCCTACGACATTTTAAGAAATCTTTAGTCCAGTTCGGAAACTTTCCTTTAAGTCCCACGTCTGTAAACCTTTGAATGGGATGCTTATGTGGAAAGCAATCAAAGTGAGAATAAATGACTTCTACTGTATGTCCTTTTTACATGGCCTTTAACCAATGCTCGAGCGATGCAAGCAGGCTTGTGAAGCAGGACCTCTTTTCACAGAAGCCATGGTAAACGGAACTGATGTGACAGCGGAATTTATCGAGCGATGTAATTGACCTTTTAACTATCCATTCCATCAGCTTGCTGTAAACGCACGCCAGACTTACAGGCCAGTCATTGGTTGGCTATGACCCTGATCCTCACTTGTGGATGGATATGACGTTTGCCAACTTTCATGTATCAGGAAGTTTACTAGCTTCGAGTGATTTATGTAAGATTTTACAGAGTGGTTCTGCTAATTCTTCGGTTAGCTGACTTAGGAGTACAACTGGGATCTCATCTGGTCTACGTGACTTGGCCTGATCCAACTTATTTAACTCTGCCAGAACTAGCTACATTGTAAATAATACTGGGCTTATAAGTGGTTGGTCAACCAGCTGTGGCAGCGAAAAGGACTGAAGGCATGATTCCGCAGTAGAGGCACCTTGAAAAAATTCTGAAAGACGCCCGGATTTTTGAAAGCCGTCGTCCACATTTTGACTATTTTTGTCCTGTAAGGTTGCAAGATGTTCTCGGTTTTTGTATTGCTTTTGATGTATGCATAGAATTCTTAAGGTTCTTGCTATGCCTCTTCCAGGGGCCTCAGTTGATAAGAAGCACGTATTCAAGCAAGAGGATTTCGCACAAGTTGCGTTATTGTCTAAAATCTTGAAGTTTTGCCGGCCTCCCTGTCCGTAAGAAAATTTTCGACAGCTTGCGATTTTTTCAGATTTCCTTTTTAACTGCTGTTGTCAGCCACTTCGGTCTATTTCGAGACGGATATATCTTGAGAGGGCAATATCGTTCAATCACGATTTTCATAGTTAATTTGAAGGTTTTCCTCGTCATACTTCCGTCCATAGCGTGTGTTCAATCTCCGACGTTGTTGCCTCAACGTTACTTCGTTACACATTACTTAACGATTTTTAACTTCGTTCGATAAATACGGGTGTTTATAATCACATTTATGAAATGTGATCAAAAAGGTCCTAGGGGCGGGACTACAGAAATTTCCTCAAGACTCTCCTCGTTCATGGTAAACAGCTGGTTCAGGCAACTCGCTCTGTGACCTTCATGCATCCCAGTCACTCTTTGCACAGCATGAAACATAAATCCATCCAGGGCTGATAGAAGCGAGCGGGCGAGCTCCAGATAGCAGTTCTGAAGATAAAGATACGATATATATATACTGAATTATACTGTAAATGCTAGTAATCATAACACCGGACGAATTCATAAGCTGAAGATGCGATCACTGGATTAAGAAATTTATTGGCCTGACGTTTCCGATTCTCACTTGAATCCATCATCAGAGATATTCGCAGATAAAGGTGATGGTGGCACCAAGAGTGCAGCATTTATAGCACGTGGCTGCCGTGGGACCGTTTGCACACCGCAAATAACAGTTCTCACAATCACCGCTGGGGTCGTAATTGATGCGGTGGTGGCTTGTCGGTCCGAGTCCGAGTCGCTAACTGCCGTGATTTCGTCATAAATGCTGGATGCTGGTGTGACGATTAGATAAAGAGATAGATAGATAATTTTTTATTAAAGACCCGTCGGAGTCCCATCAAAGCAAGTTAAAATAAATTTACATGCAAGTTTTAGACGAGGTAGGCCGAATCTTTACAAAATGCAATTCATAGTTTCTGAATTAGTAGTCCATTGAGAAACATGATGATTGAGGTGGGAAAAAACTCCTTACAAAGAGTTAAAAATGATTGCATTAATTTTACAGGAGAAAAAAAACCCTCAATAAAAATAATGACAGGAAAAAGCGAGCAGGATTGGCCTGTAGGTGGCGGTATATAAGGGAATGTTGTCGGTCATCGTCAGGGTAGCAATAAATCTCAGCCTTGAGGGGTACGAATGTGGGTCAGACAGGACTGGCTGGCATATTGCATTGTATACGGGATTCACAACTGAGATCGTCTTGGCCGGATTGATATGTCGCATGAGACTATTCGCGTCATAGAGGCCAGACGAGAGCAACCCAGATGCGATCGGCCACAGCACGCTTCGAGTTCAGCCGAGCAGTGGGGAAGGGAGGTACGACCAAACTACTAGTAGACGGCGAATACTGAGGGTTCCGCCCTGAGCGTCGACAGACCGCATGAGGTCGGAATGCGGGAGATGACATTAAAAACCGCGAAAATTGTCGCTATGGGGGAGGAGTGATAGCAGTGAATTTAGAAACCAATCCAAAACAGGGGTTTCTAATGATATAATTAAGAGTTACCACTTAATCTACCACTAAATCCCAGGAGGACCCTTCTCGAAGTCAAGAATCTGAGTGTTCGGAAATGAGACCGTTAACAGTGCCTTTATGCTTTCCGGTGTAAGATGTTTGCGCAATTTCGACTTGAATACCAGTAACTTAGGCGATAATATAATTTCAGGCGGAAGATTATTCCAAAGGAAGGCATATTTGGAAGCAAAGAAGAGGGAGCGCTTAGATGTAGTACAAAGAGGCGGCGGAATCACCATGCAGGAGTTGCGCGTGGCATAAGACCGATCTCTCGGAGTGAGAGTTTCAATGGGCGGAAGACTGGAGCTGGAGTTGATGCGAAAAAGGAAGCAAAGGCCAGCTTCGAGTCTTCTAACCCACAAAAACTTCATGTTCGCCACTGACATCTCTGAGTATAAGAAATACTGGACGAAGCTTGAGAGAACAGTTTACGGGTGAAAACCCTCTGAACATTTTCGATTTTATTACGGTCGCAGGCGTTCATTAAACCGAAGAAAGGACAAACATTTGATGAACTCTTAGTTTCATTTCCGGAAGGAAAAAATTATGCGATATGAATCCACATATCTGCGCGGATTTGGCAGAGATTCTATCTGCATGAGGTGATAAAGCAAGCTTGTTTTTATAACTTATACCTAGGTCCTTTATAGTGAGGCGTACTGAGAGTGGGTTATTCTGAAAAATTATGGGACCAGGAAGTTTGGTAGGACCAAAAGACATGAAACTACACTTGGATGATGAAAACTCCATCTGCCATGTCGAACCCCATCTGCTTAAGCGTAGTAAATCGGCATTAATTTTTTCAACACAAACATTTGCGGTGTCCTTAGAGTATGAGTAAACACACTTGAGGTCATCGGCATAAGTAAAAGTCTGCGAATTTCCGAGTTCAGTCGAAATATCATTGATGTACAGAAGGAAGAGTAGCGGACCCAGGACCGTTCCTTGAAGTACGCCACTCGTGATCGAGTGGGGTGTCGAGTAGCTATTACCGACCATGAATTTCTGATATCCGTTAAACAGAACGGACCTGATGAAGTCGAGTAGAGGCGGCCGGATGCCGAGAGTTTCCAAATTTACTAAAAGACGTCTATGGGGCACCTTGTCAAAGGCTTTGCTATGATCAAAGTAAATAACTACCACTGACTGCCGCTCATTACGAAGAGAAGTGATTAGATTAAGAAAAGCCAAGTGACATGTTTCGCAGGATCGTTCAGGTAAAAATCCATGCTGACTAGAGCTCAGAAGCCGATTAGCTAGACAGAAATCAAGAATTTCATTGAAAATAATCCTTTCAAGAAGCTTTGCTAGAGACGGCGTTTTGTGCACGCCCCGATAGTTATTAACATCGGACCGAGATCCTGACTTGAAGACGGGAATGATAATTTACGTTTTCCATATTTCAGGAATGAATCCTTTTGAAATATAAACCGAGAATAAATGACTGAGCAATATGGGAAAGTCGGACGCTTGTTTAATAATCGAATTCGGAATGTCGTCCGTTCCAGAGCAGTTTGAGTATTTCAAACGGCTTATGTGTTTCTTAATGAGATCTGAGGAGACATCAATTGTACTAAGCGTCCTATCTGAAAGTGATCGAAAGAAAGGGACCGGATCGGACTCGGTAGCAAGGTGGTTTGCAAAGAAAGCACTAAACAACTCCGCCTTGTCAGTGTCATCGGTGAGGAAGACTTTGTTATCATTTAGCAGGGGTGGAAGTTCGTGACCACGCTTAGAGGAGGACTGATGACAGAAGATGTTAGCGACGGATTTGCCAGGGTTCGAACCACTGAGAGCGATTGATTCTCTTTGCCTGTCGCGCGCTTGGCGCATCCTGGAGGCCATCTCAAAAATCTCTGTGATTCTAAGATGAACTGATAAGGAACTAGTGGATGGTTCATGCAGCTGTCGCCTCAACATTTATAGTCTGTTGTGACGAAAATGAGGAACAAGGGAATCTGAAGAATTAGGCTTGAGATATCTACGCGGCACAAACTCTAGAATGTCCTTGGAAACATTGGACATGACATCACGAAGAATGGTTGCATCGCTACAAGTGAGGAAGCCACACCAATCCAAGGATCTCATATAGTTATTTATTAAGTCGTTATCTACGCAGTCGTAGCTCATGTAAGTCCGAACGGCGCTTGTCTTTTTTGAAAAGGCAAGCGGTAAGCAACAATGAATTACTACGTGGTCACTGTCAAAAAGGTCCTTTTTTAAAGCAGCAGAAAGAGGAGCAATGTCATTGGTAAAGATTAGATCTAAAATGTGATCATCTCTTGTTGGAGAGCGCACCGGTTGGGACCAGTTAGAAAAGTTGACAATATCTTGAAAGGGCTGGAATCTGGGTGGACAGCTATTGGAAACCAGTCTATTTTAGGAAGGTTAAAATCCGCAGTGATTATTTTAACATCGAAAGCAGCTTTCGAAATTAATTTAAAGATTTCACAGAGTTGTAAATCATCACTGGCTAAAGAATTTGGGGGATTGTAGATACAGCCAATAATTGCCTTTCTTTGCAGCGAGGGAATAACAGATGCAAAGCAGAAGTTTCCCGTGATCGAGGAAACATCCAAGTAATAGGGAGAGTGCTTTAGGTAGGATTTCAGATAAGGAAGACAACCACTCCCACGCCTAGTCGTGCGGTCTTGGCGGTAAAAATCGACGTCATCTATGAGAAGGACAGAGTCAGGAATTAGAGAATGGGTCCAAGATTCTGTTACACATGTAATATCAGGCGTCATTTCCAGAGCAATGGCTCTGATTTGGGCCATCTTGTTTATAACTGACCTGGCATTCAATAATATAATATCTAATGTGTTTCGAACGGCAATGCTATTTTCGACGGTATTTAAAAAAATTTGGAGGCGGATATGTAAGCTGTGAATTAATGACACTGTCGTTCTGGAGAGCGTCAGTTGCGGAGCCTTCAGTGTGTTTCTATCACCAAAAAGGTGTTGTGTACTTCTTGCATCTGTCCTTTCTGTTCAAAATCACGTCCGCAAGGGCGGCGTCCCGTGTGTGTGTACTTGTAACCAATCAGCGACAGAAATTTGCGTTGATTGGCTCCGAGCCCAAGCGAAATGGCAAATTATCGGCCAGGAGTGTGGCGTGGACGGAAGTGCAGATCGAGGGTTAGAGAGCGCAGCCGTGGCGCGTAAACAGTAGAACGAGGGTACATGGAAAAGACTGCTACAGACCCAACTGCAAGTGGTGGAGAAGTTCCCGTACCTAGGCAGTACCCTATCTCGCAACACCAAAATCGATGACGAAGTGGCGCGCAGGATCTCGAAAGCCAGTCAAGCCTTCGGCCGCCTCCAAAGCACAGTTTGAAATCGTCATGGTCTCCAACTGAGCACGAAACTTAAGATGTACAAGGCCGTCATCCTGCCGACGCTGCTGTACGGAGCGGGGACTTGAACGGTGTACACAAAGCACGCACGTCATCTGAACCACTTCCACCTCAGTTGTCTTCGTCGCATCCTGAGGCTGAACTGGCAGGACCGCATTCCCGACACTGATGTGCTGGAAAAGACGGGAATTCTCAGCATCTACACCATGCTGAGTCAAATGAAGCTGCGCTGGAGCGGCCACCTGGTGCGCATGGACGACGAGCGACTACCAAAATGACTCTTCTATGGAGACGTCGTGACGGGTTCTCGCTGCCAAGGAGGTCAGATTTGTCGATACAAGGATACTATGGATTCCTCCCTGAAGCGCCTGCAAATCAACCCGACGAACTGGGAAGAGCTCGCCCGCGATCGTCCGACCTAGAGGAGAACAGTGAAGACGGACGCGGCTATTTACGAAGCCAGATGCGTCGCTGCCGCCAAAACGAAACGCGAAGCCCGCAAGTCCCTACTGCGCCCAGTCCGCAACGCCGACGCACAACCCCCACCAACGTGTCCTCTATGTCAACGGACATTCCGGGCTCGAATCGGACTTGTTGGACATCTTCGGATCAACTGTACCTCTCGGACCACAACAACAGCCGTCCCTCCGCCCGCGTCTTCCACGTCCTCTCTGCCGCCAACTACCTCTGGCAATTCATCTGAACCACCACTTCCATCCTCGTCCTCCTCCTCCTCCTCCTCCTCCACCACCACCACCACTGCCCCAGCGACGGCCGCTCAGGCGACCAGCTCGCATAACACCAACCCTGACACAACATCCGACACCACCCCCACTGCCCCCGACTCCAGCAATGAGGATCAGGACTACACCTGCCCTCACTGCGACCGCACCTTCACCTCACACATTGGCCTGGTTGGTCACTTGCGAATCCATCGCACAGAGATTGGCGAACCAGTGCCTGGAGCACCAGCCTACACCCACCGCACTCGCCTCCAATGCCCACACTGCCTTCGCACCTTCAGGCATCGCATGGGTCTATTCGGCCACATGCGCATCTACGAGAGCGGAATTGAACACAATTCCGACACATCCACCATGTCCAGCCCCACCGTCGTTCCATCGCCCGCGCACATCATCACAACCACGGCCTCCTCTGCAGCTGACACCGACACCGTCGACTTCTCGTGCTCACACTGTCCACACACGTTCACCTCGCGCATCAGCCTGGTCGGTCACTTGCGAATCCATCGCATAGAGACTGGAGAGCCAGTGCCTGGGGCACCAACCTATACCCACCAAGCTCGACTCAACTGCCCACACTGTCCTCGCACTTTCAGGCATCACATGGGCCTATTCGGCCACATGCGCATCCACGACGACCTGCGGTAGACAACCGTCGTCTGCACCACACCACAACACACAAATTCCCTGACTCCTCCTCCTCCTTCTCCTCCTCCACCACCACCACCCCTCCACACATCAACACTCAACCACCGCATGCAACTAACTGCTGCCTCCCACGCAAGTGGGAGGTGTGCATCTCGCCTCGGTCCTAATGCGGCTTCGGCTGCACGGATGACTTGCGTCCGAGGCTATCCCGACACGTCAAGCGTCGTGGATAGGAAGGTTACTGATTGACGCCCCACTCGGTTCACGCAGTCCGTCCCGTTGTGTGTGTGTTGCGTGGAGTGGCGGACTGGTGGGCTGGGGTCGGGCTGAAACAGCACCTTCAACGGCCCTCTCACGCAAGTGAGAGACACGCCGTTCAACCCCCGTTGTATGAAATCCTGGTGTTTGTGTGTATGGGGGCCAGGCCGTGCTCGTGGCGCGCGCAGGCATGGTCAGTCGACCATGAGAGTCACTGCGCCCATTTCCAACTCCAGTCTGCTGACCGGCTCGGACAGCGGCTGGGGTGTGGGAGTGGGAAGGGGGAGTGAGGTCGACGACTCAGCGCACTTTCTCCTCACTATAAACAATCTGACGCGCTTGAAGCTACCACGGTACGCTAAAAGCCGTGGCTTGGAAGGTTGCCAACTGACGGGATAACTTGGACCTCCTCCTTGACCGGAGGCGGTCTGAGAGTCAGGCTGCAATGGCCTCTTTTTAATGTGGCCTTTATGGCACTCCCACCACAGTGTGGGATCCGAGCCAGACGTTAGCGGCACGCCTAGGTGCGGCTTCGGCCGTCCCAGCCTCCAATCTCGGTTGTGTTGGTTGAAATCCTGGTTATTTGTTGTGTGGACCAGGGGTGTGGTGCAACGCCAAGGTGAGGATCCGTCCGAGCCATCCACCTGCGGCCACCCTAGTCTCCGGTCTTCTTGAGTCTGTCTGGACACCGTGCACAGGCAAGGGAGGAGGAGAGAGTGTAGGTAGATGCAGCGCAAGTCTACCGGCACTATAAACCCCCTGTGCAAGTCACCGTCCCTGCTCCCACTGCTGCTGCAGCTATGAAGCACACGGTGGACACCGTCAAAATCGATGGTCGAACTGTCATAGCGTCCTTACACAACTGCGTTTCTACGGTTTCCCAAAAGTGTACAAAGAGGGCGCTCCTCTCTGGCTTATCGTATCACTAAAGGGCACTCCATCATACGGACTGGCAAAGTGGCTGTTCCAACGTCTCAAGTTTCTGACCTCCGATTAGAACACCACAGTCAGCTCGTCAACGTAATTCTTGGAGAAACTGAAAGGAGTTAGTCTCCTGCCAAGCGATATCATGGTTCCCTTTGATGTCACGTCCCTTTTTACTTCTATACAATTTTATTTAATGCCAGTTTACAGGCATCGTCAAGGGAAGAGTTAAACACAAATCCGACCAGCAGTGAAAAGACTCTTGAGGTAAAGGAATAAAATATAGTTTATGGTGGTTTTTATGGTTTGGAGGGTTCAGGAGAAAAAACTGCTGGCGGTATACATTCGACCATCAAGAAGGATGGGGGAGGGATTGCTCGGTATCGGAGATTATCGGACGTCAATCCCTTTCATGAAGTTGGGGAAAGTCAAATTAGAGGCGTTGAGGAACAGCTGTCGCTGCTGACCAATTCCGCAGGACCTGGCAGTCGAGACCATTGAACTACTCCTACGAGAGAAATACGACGAAACGGAGAATCGCCTCGGACACGCCCAAATCATCCAGCTCCTGAAGTTCTGTCTCAATACGTACTTTACGTTCGATGGAACAATCTACGAGCAGGTGAAGGGAACGCCAATGGGTTCGCCGATTTCGCGACTCCTAGCCGAGGCGGTCCTAAAACGGCTGGAGTCGCTGGTTTTCCGACACCACAGACCGAAATTCTGGGCTCGGTATGTGGATGACACCTTCGTCGTCATCGAACGGGATTAGGTGCTGACGTTCAAAAAACAAGTCAACGCCGTCTTCCCGGACATTCAATTTACGATGGCGGAGGAGGAGGTAAACAACCAGCTGGACTTCCTGGATGTCCTCATCTGCCGCAAAGATTGTGGTGGCCTAAAAACCAAAGTGTTCAGGAAAGCGACAAATACGACGCAAATACTGAACTTCAATAGGAACCACCCGATCAGTCACAAACGCAATTGCGTAAGGGCGCTATACCGGCGAGTTGAGACGCACTGCAGTGAAATGGAAGACAAGGTTGCTGAACTACAATATCTTCGACGGGTAATTAGAGCCAATGGTTACCCGCGCAACTTTGTCAACCAGTGCATACGAAAAGGACAGCAGAGACCAAATCCAAACGGCACCAAATTTTGGCGGGCTTTTTTGCATGTGAAGAACGCCTCGGAAGCCGTCAGTCGTCTTCTCACTCCACTTGGAGTTGGGGTTGCACACAGACCGGAAGCGACCATTAGGCGTCAAGTCATGAGGCCAAAAGATCCGCTGCCACGGCAAGAAACATCTGGGGTCGTTTACCGGACCTGGTGTAGTTGTGGACAAAGCAACTTTGTCGGAGAAACTGGGAGATTACTCCGTACACGAATTGCCGAGCCCGCAGCAGCAGTGTGGCGAGAGGACGCTAATTCTCAGGTGGCGGCCCACTCGATGGGACCGGGCCATATTTTCAAATTTCAAGAGGCTGAAATCCTCGCAAGGAGTGACAACCGCGTGAGCCGCGAGCTGATCGAGTCATGGTTTTCAGGCCCGCAACCCATCAACAAGCACAATGACCTCCCGGCACCGTATTCCGTGCTGAGATTTTCCCTGGACAGGAGAATCAGTCACGTGGGGAGGGCGCAAGCGAGCAATTATCACAGTGACAGTGAGCCGATTTGCCGAGCAATCGTCACACCAGCATCCAGCATGGATGACGAAATCACGCCAATTAACGACTCGGACTCCGACCGACAAGCCACCACCGCATCAGTTACGACCCCAGCGGTGATTGTGAGAACTGTTAATTGCAGTGTGCAAACCGTCCTACGGCAGCCACGTGCTATAAATACTGCACTCTTGGTGCCACCATCACTTTATCTGCGAATGTCTCTGATGATGGATTCAAGTGAGAATCCGAAACGTCAGGCCAATAAATTTCTTGTTCCAGTGATCGCATCTTCAGCTTATGAATTCATCCAGTGTTATGATTACTAGCATTTACAGTATAATTCAGTATATATGAGAAATCTAGTCAGAGCACTGGAAAACCCTTTTTTGGTATGCACTTCAAGTTCGGCATCTTTTATCTTCAATTTGTATTGGTGGCCTCGAAGATTGGTCTTTCGCGCCATTTCGAAGAACACATCAAACTGAGGAGGACAGTCTTGTCCTCGGGCGATCGTAAAGGCCATGATCATATTCCCTCTGTATTGTCTGTAAGAGAGAAGGCGTATTTTTAGCTTTTCCGGGCGTCTGTCATAAGGTAAGCAACTTCATCAACCGGACAGTTTGGTTGCTCTTCGTTATGCGTTCTCATGTAGCGCGCAGTCTTGTTTCGTCCAGAAATACCATGCCAGAACATGATATTCCAACACTGATCGAAAAATGTTCCAAATACTGGGCCGAAAAATTCTTCGCCAAAATTGAGGAAGGATCTTTTAATTGCGCCTACCTTTTCCATAGCCATCTTTAATGCCTTGGCGGAGTGAGACGATGGTTTGAGAGAAGACGTCATCGACAGACCGATGTCTCCTAACTCGTTGACTTATTCGAGTGGGTGACTTCCTGTAGAGCAGTGAGATTCAAATCTCAACGGCCTCCTGTTGCTAGATCGTGATCGGATAAGTTGGCAGTTGTCAAGATTGAGGTTAAGACACTGCTCATCACATAATTTTAACTTTGGAGAGTCTTCCGGCTTCTCTATCGATTTCCACAACAAAAGATCATCGGCAAACACTATGCGCTCGCAGTTCATACGGTCCAGACAGTCGTTCACATATATTGAGGACAGAATTGGACCCAGAACGCTTCCCTGCGTAACGCCACTGCGAATGGATGTCCATCCCAATTTAGCGTTTCCGATACACGCACGCTGAGATCTACCCGTAAGAAAATCGGCCAACCATTTTAACAGATTACCATTCACGCTCATTTGGCGTAGTTTATATATAAGTAATCTGCATGGAACACTATCATAAGCCTTTCTGAAGTCAATGCACACGGCGTCGACTGACAAACTCATTTCGATAGATTTCCTCCATCTCTCCATGCATACTAGCAAGTTATTAAGATGGGACCGACCCCTTTAAATCCAGGCTGATGCAAACTGAGCAAGTTGTTTTCTTCGAGATGCCGCATCAGCTCCGTTTTTATTACCTTTCCCATCACTTTGCAACAAATGCTTGTGAGATCGACTGGTCTGAAACTATTTAGGGTTGTTCTTTCACCACCTTTATATATGGGGCTGACATTCGCTTTTTTCCGATCTTTAGGCAAAGCCCCGGCCTCCATCGAAGTTTCGCAGATCCTGATTAACGGGGAGGTCAGTTGGTCTGAGAGTTTATTCAGGACTTTTGTGAGTACGGCGTCCGGACCAGGCGATTTAGTGGGCTGTAGTTCACTCAAAGTTTTCCTTACCGTGTCTGTTGCAAAGTCCACTGTGCTAATTGTATTGCTTGCTTCATCAAAAGCTAGTTCCTCGGTATACACAGACGTGAAGAAATCGGATTACAGGTTCGCCTTTTCTGAATTATCAGACAACGTATTTCCCTGGCGATCTTTTAGACAGGGAATGCAGTCTCGGTTGTGTTTCGCCTTATTCACGTATCCATAGAACTTTTTGGAATGTCATGGCATATTTTTGAGCATTTTGTTCAAATTCTGTTCGTTCCCTCCTCAGCGGATTCCGACATATATTTATCTGTTTTTTGAAATCAGTAAAATATTCTGGTTGTTGACATCTGGCGTACTTTTTCCAAAGTCTCCTTTTCAATCTAAGGTTCTACTTTATTTCAGACGTCACTCATTCTGGTCAGGAAGTGCACGGTTTCCTTTTACGCCTTTTACACCGGTTTCCTTTTAGCTTCATGCGTACAACTGAGCGGAAGAAAATAGAATCCGTTCAACGCCTTTTTACCAAGAGAGTCTTAGCCCTGGAACACCGACATTTGTCTTACCAAGAAGGTTGCCGGCTTACAGGCCTTGATCCCTTATGGTTTCCTACATAATAAAAGGGACTATTTTTGAGATTTAAGCTTTTATATAATCGCACCTTTAACCCACTCATTATATTTTAAGACATAATGTTTGCCCTCGACGTAACAGTCACCATGAGGTCTTTTTATTTATTCCTGTGGCACGTACAGTTAAATACCGTCCGTTCTTTTCTGTAAATGCAATTGCTATTTAAAATGAACTACCCAGGAGTGTGAAAACTCTGCAAAATTATCCTTTCTTTAAAAGAACTGTTACTCGATTTTTTTCATTCAGAAAAACTCCCACGAAATTTGCTTGCTGAATCCACTGATCGACTTTACCGTAGCGGTGGCGTTTGTGGTCTCTGACCACTATGGCCGGTTTCAACAGGGACAATTTTTTTCGCCAACAGCGACAGCTGTTCTTCGGCGCTTCTGTTTGGACAAGCACCAACTTTATGAAAGAAACTGGTGACTGATAATATCCGATACCATGCAACCCCTCCCTTCTTGACGGTTGACAGTTTGCCGTCAGCGGTTTTTTTCTCCTGAACCCTGCAAACCATGAAAACCAACATCCCCTTTATTTTTTTACCAGGAGTTTTTTTCACTACTCGCCGGATTTGTGTTTAACGCTTCCCTGACAATGCCTGTTTAGTGGGCGGTCCGTCTGGCTGTCCCGTCGAGGAGACCGGCTCTGGGTTAACGTTCTTCGTCATGATAGAATCACATAAAACAGGGGTTGGTCCGGGCTGGCTTGTTTGTTCAGTTCTTGATTTCGGAATCGTACGGCAGGCAGTACTTCAGACAAACAAGTGTAACGTAGACAACTAAGATAGTTGATAATATAAACGGTCTATTGAATGAGTGGAGACGGAGAGAGGAAAGACGAAGAGCGTCAGCGAGCTCATACGAATCGGAAAACAGGGGGGAAGGGAAGAATACTCGCAGATAAACGTTGATCCAAGGAAGTTTCTCTAACAATATAATCTCGGTCACTGTCTGGTTGAAGCACGGGGAGCGTAGAGCTGGAGCTGCTACAGGGGTTGGGATGCGGGCTCCTTCAGTAGATCCTGCAGGCACACAAATAAAACACACATTACTCCCTTTCGGAAACAGGCCACTTTAATAAAACAAAAAGAAAACGGTCAGTTCACTCCTGCCGTATCACACCTGTAACCTGACATTTAATAAAATTATTATTATTATTATTATTATTATTAAGTGGACAGCAGCTCTCCACCAAGTGTTTCGTTACGTTTTTAAAAGAAGAGCCAGTCGCTTTCTGGGTCAGGTGATTGTACAGCTTTCCAGCTCACCTTCTGTAGCAGATTTTTCATTCGGTGATAGTCCCCTTTCCATCAATGTCTTTCCTCGACATCTGGAATTTCGGATGCTAAAGAATGACCATACTCCAAAACAAGAACACAGTGGCCACTTCGGCCAAGGGACGCGTGCGATTCTAATCCGAGAATGGGATTGTAAAACCCTGCTTCTTTTGCTTTGTGGACCGGAAAGCGTGTTGGTACGGCTTAGTGCGTAAGTTCTCCGCGCCCGCCATTTGCGGCCTAACTTCTCTCTGGTTTTGTTGGCTTTGTCTTGACGCCAGACCCAGGGGGAGGAGAATGTGAGAAGGTAATGGATACATCGCATGTCTTCTATCGCTTTAAGTTAATTGACGCGCAAGTTACCGTCCCTACTTTCGTCCTGCCGTGAAGCCTACGACAGACACCATTGAAATCGATGGTAGAATTTCCGATGCACACTATAGTAGATTTATGCGAATTAATGAATATTTAGCTCTGGACTAGTGAATATATTTGACCGAATTTGGTTTGCAATTGCCAAACATTTAGCCATACTTCACAGTCCCACATATGCTGAATAAAGGTACGAACTGCTTTCAGTTTGCTACTGATCCATATGTGATAAATAAATACATGATGGTTGCCTGGACTTATTACCTTTTTGCTCCATTCGGCGTCGATGTCTAACATTCTCATTATGAAGTCGCGGATAACAATTTACGCAAATGGTCCTGTCAAATCAAGTTAATTAGGACTTTAGACATAATCTAATAAAGTGGAGCGTGTTGTGGTGATCCACTTTGCCTGGACCGTGTGAATTTTGTTAATAAAAGGCAATGAACTATTCGGGCAAACTTTAGCTTCTTTATTTGAAATTTGTTTTATCGTGCTGTCAGAATCCGCCAACGGAGCCTTCACGATAGAAACCGCGGCATCCAGTTGCTCGTCTGACAATGAGCTCTAGGCAGGTATACAAGGTTGTGCTAATTAGGCACGGGGAGAGCGTTTACAACCAGGAGAACAGGTTTTGCGGCTGGCATGACGCTGATTTATCGGAAAAAGGGGAATGTGAGGCTAAGAAGGCTGGTGAAATGATCAAAGAAAAAGGCTTCACGTTCGATGTCGCGTACACAAGTGTGTTGAAACGTGCCATTAAGACTCTCAACCACGTCTTGGAAGAAAATGACTTGCATTGGATACCTGTCCACAAGTAAGTGAGAATCCCTTGCTTTACTGAGGTTTTCAACAAGTTTATCCGTTAATGAAAGAGATTGTTTTAAAGCGCTTTATTCACATCTAACTAGTAGCTGGATGATCAATATCCAGCAGCTCCGATTCAGCTTAGTCTGCGGTTAATTATCTGACCGGCTGGCCATGCAAGACCTGCGCGGTTTGTCCATCCTTGCTGCCTCATCTGACTATTGCAGCCAACAACCCGCACACGGGACACTCAAAACTTACCTTAACTGTCCTCTTCCAGCTTCATTCAGCATACTCGATATGAACTTCTCAGATGCTCCGCAGTTGGCTCAGCTGGGCAAGTCTTCTCATCAGGCCATGGGACGCCTGCGCAGCATGCCGACACATTCAGCCCAGTCTAGAACAACGCAAAATTGGTACAGTACGTGCGTCATTGAGGTCTTCAAAGCCATTGACGAGAGCGGATTGACGGCCAGGTTGTTCCTTAAGGGCACTGAAGGAAACAGTTGGTCGTGTAATTAGCCATGGACTATCAGAGTAGCATCAGCAGGAGTTCGCAGTGTACAAGTGCAATGCTACCACGAAACTCGTTGCTTCTTAACACAAACGGCAGGAATATCAAAGGGCAGTAGGGTTAGAGATATGTTCCCGCTGTATACTCTGACTGCTATCAAGGACCCCGACCGAGCACACTTGCAGAAATGACATCGACGTCTTTATAGGACACAGCTCCAACATGAATCTCTCGACCGGAGTACGCATAGGGCATTTTTTTTCAAGTCCAACGTTTCCAGCTCATCGTGCTCGTGTTTCATTATACCTGCGTGACTGCCGACATCTCTGACAGATGCGGTTGTGAACAATTCTTAAAGTCCAATACCACGACATGTCCTCTTCCAGAGCGATATTACTCGATTGGTCACAGGGACATTTGCCAAGTCAGCAGAGTGTTAAACGTCAACCAGGTCAACTTGCCCGTTCCGACACTAAAGAATTTTGCAACCCTTATTGTTTGCAGGACATGGCGTCTTAACGAGCGTATGTATGGCGGTCTCCAGGGTCTGAACAAGTCAGAGACGGCCGCAAAACACGGTGAAGCTCAAGTTAAGATATGGCGGAGAGCGTACGATATCCCCCCACCGCCTCTCGACACATCTGATCCCCGCTATCCTGGTCATGAACCTAAATATGCGGTAAGTCCTCACAATCCTTGTGTTCTTCTTTTCCGAACTGACTGGCAAGTCTGGATCGTCCGTCCAGCAGTACCACACACAACCTGAACCTCACACATACATGGTTTCATTTGATGGGTCACTGGTCTCACATGGGCAAGGGCGACAAGGTGCTGTTAAGCTATGTCTGACGCATATCACACTTATTCACGTCAGCAGTTAAGGATCCGTGCAGGGTGAACACAGCTCGACTAGTGCACGCTATTAGCCGATGTGACCCTCGTTTCAACGTAATATAATTGGCACATCCAGTTTGCTATGCGGAACGAATGAAGTACACATCAAACACGACCGGTTTACCACAGACGATAGTGCTCTATACATAATATGCCGAGCTAGGACCTTGTAGATTCAACTCTAGGCTCCCAGTTTCCTCATTGTACAATCCAGCGACGTATTCCCTCAAATCGAAGCCAGTAACACTCTTGCGCTACTTTTCTACCACTGTTATCGGGCTAATCGAGCCAACGTTGGACATATAAATCAAATAAAGCAAATGTTCACCTCTCCCAGGTCTTTATAGTCTGTGGGACTCCTTTATTTCGGTGTTTACTCTTTGCAGCGTCTCATTGATGGACACGACTCAGTCTTTACTAACCGCATATAAAACAGGAACTATCTGAGGCTGTTTAGCTTCGTCATCTCGATTTGGTCCATTTCATTACAGATAAACAGCGACGTAAACGAGCGGATTGTGTAAAGCATGTTGATCGGGAAATTCATTTAAATCTTTTTGCCAAATGCTATGCTGAATATAAAATATGATGTCCATCCGTTGCCCTTTAGTTCGGAAATGACAACTTTGCATATGCGGGTTTTCCTTTTTCTCCTCTGCTTTTCTGATTATGCCTCATCGTTTCACTTTTAGATGTTGGACAACTCAGTCATTCCCGTTACCGAATGTCTGAAAGACACAGTCGTGCGTGTACTTCCATTCTGGTTTGATGAGATTGTTCCAGCTATGAAGGTATGCGTATCACGGTGCTACTATCCTTCTCATCTACCGTTTCGTTTAAACTCGTAGTTCCGAGTTAAGTCATTTGTTCGAAAATTATTTGTTTACTGCCGTCACATGCTTCGAGTTTTCGGCGATTGAAGCTTCGCAGGTTTGCACAAATATCGCTGGTTAATATGTAAATGGGGGGTAGTGATCTGTTTGACTGATAGCCCAACACTTGGTTTCAGTAACATAACAAATATAGACTTCAATGTGGCGACACAGTAGGCACTTTTCCCACAGTTTGGTTGGCACGGTTGTAGTCAGGGAAACTTGTTGTTTAGGTGCTTATTTGCTTTTTATTCTGTCCCTAAAACGGGCCACGCGGTAGATGCGCCCGACCAACACAGGGGACCTGATGGGAGTCCGACAGGCGTTATCAGGAATACGCACTCACAACTAATGCCAACATTGAGGTGTGGTGGCAGGCTCAGTTGCCAGTTCACTCCGCGCCATTTGGGATGCCGGCCGCCTCCTATTTGTGTTGCATGAGATCCTGCTAATTGTCCGTAGTGGACCGTGGGGTGTGGTGGCTCACCTAGGTGCGCGTTTTCGCCGTGTCAGCCACCTGCATACTCTCCCATGTCCGGTCTTTTTGAAACCGAACCCAGATTGGATAATAGGAAAAAGTGCGGTAGGCGCTACGCAAGTTTACTATCACTATAAACTAATTCACGCGTAAATCACCGTCCCTGCACTCATACTGCTGTGAAGCGCTCGAAGGACATCGTTGAAATTGACGGTCGAACCGTCCTTTGCTTTCATAAGGATTTCATCCATTCGTACACACAAGACTGTCAATGCACTCTATTTTGCGCGGACAGAGGTCTTATTCACGCGATAAACAATTATTTTTCGAAAGTCATACAAGATCGTCTCTAGCTCTGCACGCTATGGTGCTTATTAGTCCTTGGTGCTGTAAAACGGGACACCTGTAATTTTCTCCAATCGCAGTTTCATTGACCTTTTTTCCTCTGTTTTAGTCTGGCAGAAAAGTCCTCATTACTGCCCACGGCAATAGCCTCCGCGCTCTTATCAAGTACCTGGACAAGATTCCAGATGACAAGATTGTCGAACTGAATATTCCCACGGGTTAGTGTGGACTTCGCATCGTATTCAACCATTCCTTATTAAAATGTCCTACTATGTTTTAGAGAAAATAAGTGTAAATGCCAATCTGTCAACATAGTTCGAGGTGTTTTTATTTGTTTTAGGCATTCCGTTGGTGTATGAGCTGGACGAAAACATGCGACCCATAAAGCATTATTATCTTGCGGATGAAGCTACCGTCGCCGCTGCCATCAACAGTGTTGCCAACCAAGGGAAGGCGAAATAGTGGACTCCATCTAGAGACATGCAATTTCATTTATCTAGCTTCTGATCTGTTCGACAGCTTCCCGAATAGAAGCTTACTGGATTTTTTTTCCATTCCCGAATAAACGGCTCTAGACCACCGCCAAAGCAGTCTTTGCTTGCGCTTACCGCTGCGGAGGATACCTAGAGCTTTATCTATGCTCAACCTTAATGCCTTTTCTCTCCATCCACAAGACCGCGCCTTACTGCCCCCATCGGCCCGTTAAGTTAATGTCTTTGAGAATGTTGAATAAGACTCCCTCGAACGACCTTGGCGCCGCCGCGTATGATAACACACCTCGAAGCCACTAGAAGGGCTTGAGCGCTACACGAAACGAGTTCGGCTACTTGAAGTGTTTATGCTCACAAGCAGAGGCTCTGACTACTGTTTTAGTTTGGAAGTCTAGCATTCCAGAATTCCTACTCGACCCAAGACCAGTACCAGACCTGCGGTCACAGAAAGCCTTGCACCTGCAGTGGTGAGACGTTGCGGCGTGCACGCCGCAAGTTCAGGCGACACATCAGCGCCCCAAACGTCGTGCGATAAAGACAAGCTCCTCATGCTCCCACCCCCAGAAGATGCGGTCGACCGTTAACCCACTTCCAACACCGTGCCCTACTCAATGTTAACCCCCCTCATCAACCGACCTCTTGGGTTCGTAGTGCACACCCGAACCCGACACCATTAGTTTTTCTGTCTTGGCACCCCGTGTGACTATCAACTTGTTGACAAGTAGGAGAGGGCGTACACTCATCAAGGCGAATTTACTTCAATTCTAATAGAACTTGCGCACCCAAGTTTCAGAATTGTTATATAAATTTGCCCCGGTAATGCAGGTAGGCTATAACGAGTTCCTGTCAAAGATGTTTCTGCGTCGAAACCGTAGCCGGTTTCACGAACACGAGGCAGTAGCTACTTTTAGCTCCGTCCCGGAGGTCATCTCCGTTAGATCTACCCTCTCTTCCTCTCGGCATTTGTCAGTCTGACAGGCTGGCCACATGCCTACTCAGCAACTCGGAGTGGGGCCGACGACCATCTTCAGGTGTTTTGACTTGATCGCGCATGGTTAGATGAACAATCTGATCCTCGGAGGGTGGCAGTTCCGTCCGAAATGCCCCCGCCAGACACTGTTGGCAGGTACAGAACAGCAATTGCAACTGTTCACGATTACTAACAGCATTCTTCCCTGCGACAGAGAGTATAATGGTCGGACGCAATCGCCTAGTCGAATTCAGTTTCCCAACTCGCGGTTGTAGACGCGGGTTGAAGCAGGAGACGGCGGGCCGTCTCTGGCGGCCAGCCAGAGGATTTTAACCTAGATGTCCTTAAGACGGGGAAGGGCCTCAGCGGCCACTGCTGACTGGCGTTCAGCCGTCAGGAGTTTGCCCTCACCCTAGACCACAAATACGGAGGACAGGGGTCGAAACCAGACTAGCCGACGCTCGAAACTGACGGAGCTACCGTTCTCAAGAGACGGCTGTTACTGAGACGATTCGCATAACTAACTGGTTGCGGGCGGCAGCAGGCGGATGTGGCATCCGCCAATCTGGCTTTTGCATGACAGGAAATCACATCTACATGTGACAGTGGCCATGGGTAGGTGGCGTCATTTTCTTTGGAGAACCAGCCGTTGCAGCGTCGTTTGCCCCCGCCAAGTCAGCCCATGGCACTTAAAGCACACCGCTTTGGTAGTTTCGAATTCCGTCAAGTCGTGCTTGACTGAGTAACGGCCGTGTGGAGCATCTGAGTAGATCGCCGTAGTTCCTGGATTTGAAGGTAGACGTTTGCATCCACCCCGTAAGCATACCATATCGAGTTTCCAAAACGGTACCGGACAGCGGGTAAAGGCCTAGTGGGTGGAGAACAAAGTTTAGTACAACTGCAGTCTGTACACTTCTTACTGGAAACCGACGTTTCGAACCGGTGCACACCTGCGCACGAAGTACTGCCACTGGATGGTCAGTGATGGTCTACTTGTCAGACTTTAGAGATTGCCTATTTGTCAGTTAGTCTTCGCCACTTGTGGGCATCCTGGATTGCTTACGGTTAACGGGAGGGCCATCCTCCCGATTAATCTGGATTGACAGAGGGATGGAGACGGTCGGTTCAGCTCATCCCCGGAGGCCGAGCTACGGTTCTCGCAGGACCGATGACCATTAATCGAAAGAAGCGTACTGAGGAAGACTGGCAGAGAAGAAGCGTAGGATCAAAATCTGTACCCGTTGTTTTCAGGCTGGCTGGGGCCGGAGAGAACTCCGTTATTAGCTTTCAACCTACGGTTTGTCAAGCTTGTCTGTTAAATCCAATAAATGGTGTTGGGCTGGTAATAACCTTTCAATTTGTGGACTCGGAAACGATGTCAGGCAGGCAACACACGAGTCTCCTGCGACGCAATAGTGTAAGAGAAACAACCGAAGTCAAGTTTATGTGATGAGGGTAGTTATATCCTGCCGACGATAGTTGGTCAAAAGGGACCGAGTCCCTATATACAGTGGTCTGGCTCAAGAGAATATAGCGCGCGAGAAAATTTTCCAAGTCTAGCCATGTTTAGCAATTAAGATAGAAGATATGCTCCAAGTCCAGTCGTAAAACCACCAAGATAATCCGGGAAACAGAGCAACAGCCAATGGACCACACATTCAAACCCGACACACCTTTTTCGAACGCGTGCCCAAGAAGTCGTCCCTACTTCTCCTGAGTCATTTGCCACCCACTAGACACATGTAAACGCCAATTAGCGTCACGTTTCCTGCTTGACCAACCGTGAGGCTGGAATTTTGAAATAAGCATTCAGAGTTGGTGGGGCAGCAGCAGCGGAAAGGCTTCAAATGTCAAGTTGGTTCGCGGCCCTTTGCACTATCCGGCCTTTCCCCTCCAGAGGAACCCGCCAAGTATTTGCTGTCTGATTTGATGCAAGGACAAAAATAAACCCAGGGAGGCCAACGGCTGGAGATGCCGACTTTCTGGTCTTTCAAATAGCCGGTGATGAGCACGTGTGCACAAGCCTAACTTATGAAGAAGGCTCCAATCGAGCATGACACCATCTGGTAATTTCCTTTGGCGGAGCAGATTCGAATAGTGCAAGCCGATCTGGTGACAGAATCATCTATCTGCAGCCAATGATCACGAGGCAGTCTACATGACGGCTAATTCGCGAGTAGGCATGCACCGCGGGCCTTTACGAATTCAGACCTGGACGATGGGCTTCAAAGAAGATTCGGCCGACCGAGTGGCACCGAGCCAACCGACGCGGCGTCCCCAACTAACGGTACACCGCTAAGAGGTGCTCTCCATCTTGGGGTCCGCCCGCTTATTGTACGACTCATTCACGGCAGAGACCGCCCACTGTAAAAACCGACGGGAGTCACGGGTTGGGCAGAGAGAAGCACGAGAGCTTGGCATGGACGCATGACTCAGCTGCGACTAGTTAAGCTGTGCCGGAAACTGGTTCCCGATCCGAAGATTTGGTAGGGCACGAAGGACCGACCACGACCTTGAAATATACGTCGGCACTCCCTGACCTCTTACCCTCCATTTCTTGCCTCACACTTTGAGAACTACGCAGCTAGACGGCAGAACGTGCTGCGCGCTAGATCATTAGCATTACTGGACGGTGCTTGATAAACGCACCCAATGACCATTAGGCCATGTGATAGGATCCCTGTTGGTAGCCCTCCCGGCTAATTGCTCTACACATTGCTTACTATAACATTCGCGTCTAGCACACAAGTACTGCTTCAGTTTCTAACATACATGTGACCTTAGTGGCAATAAATTATTATTTTCGGAAAATCAGGAACGCCCAACCCAATCTGGAGCTAGGATGCATTTATTCCGCAGACCGCACTCAGTATCCACGTTCGTTTTTATGTCTTTCTTTCATTTTCGCCATACTTAATTTTGGCTACGACTTTAGCAGGGGCATCAATTAGGGGCATACACTACAAACGTCATTGACGCCTGCACACAAGTGCCCCACCCGTATATTCCCCATTACCACCGGTCCCGTAAGATAGGGAGCCGGGCGATTTCAGTACCGGGAGGGCTACCTACAGGGATCCTACCGGCCATGTTTCAATGGAACCAAGATTGACTAGCTCTACTCTTGAAACGTTATTCTGCGAAGAAGGTTCCCACCCTTCAAATGGACAGTTAGTGTGCGTGATTCAAACTGGTTACAGGCTGCCAGAAGTCCCGATAAATGTGGAGCTCAATGGCGATTGAGTAGTATAGTCTCGTGTCTTGATGCCAAACTCGGTAGGAGCCCTGGCGACGAACTGAAAGAACGGAACCCAGTCAGGCGAGCAGGGATCAACTGGTGGATACCGATAAACACGCACAGCTGACAACTGAATTGGCGGTAACTCAGTTGGCGAAACATCCTGAGCGTAAATTGGGTGCGGTTGGCAACGTAATGCCGCCCCACTGCACGCGCTTTTTATCTAAGTTTTCTATTACCTATCGTCTGCTTTAAATGTCCAATATACTAGCTGGAAATCTTTGTTCGGGCAAACGATCAGCTAAGAGGGTCGAACGCAACGCCCGAAATGCACCAATATGGCTTTCGTTGTAGGCTTTAACGCAGCACACGAGAGTGCACAATCTACCGCACCTAGCCGGGGACACGTTCGAACAAGCGGCCCGTTAAGACCCCAGCGACAGAGAGGGCGCATAAGAAGTCGGACATTCTACTGCGGGCGCCTAGCTCGTTGGGCGGAGTGTCAACACAAGACAACACAGCAAACACACACAGACAAGGCGATAGCCACGTCTGGCATGCAAGATGCAACGTACGTCAAACCGACCAATCAAAAGGGCGTGCGTCTCCTCTGAACGCACCAATCACGACCATGACGACGTGACCTATGAAAGTGCTGGCATGGCAGGCGCCTTCACGAAAACGCCACGGCTGCGCCGTGATTACGGAGGGCCGGAGTTGGAAAAAAACGCGCTTAGCGCCCCAGAAGCTGGTAGGGTTCGGCTCCAAAGGGAGTGAATTGGTAGAAAAAAGGAGCAGGAGCCGAAAAATCCACCTCTGCTGTCAGTGTTGAAACCAAATAAATAGGAAAATAGGGTAAGAGTGATTGAGAAGAGGGAAAGGCAAAAAGTTACGAGGCTAATCGACGTAAGGGTTCCCGTTCTTGTCAGCGACTAGCCAGAATCTTGACCAACGCTCGACGGAGGCCGAAATGGAAGGCTGGAAGGATTAAAAGGAAAAAAATCGGTATATTCATGAACGTAAATCATCAGCGGACACAGAATCGTAATCGTAACCTTTGAAGAGGCAATACAACGTAACACAAAAGATTAAACGAACATCATCTGCGGCGGGGTTGGTGGGTGACAAATAAAGAAGTCGGGTAATGCTTAAGTCTTTTCTTGGCCTCAGACTACTTCTGTCTGCGCTCGAAGCTACAGGTAGGCCGAATAGGACCGCTGAAGGTGCATACGCTTCGGCCAAAAAACCAGTTCACGAGCCTTTCTGGATGGCATATGAGAAAAAAAAACACTTCACGGAAACTTCTGTGAACTGCTGGCTTATCTGTGTAAAAATTGCGTAGGACTAACCAAAAATACTTCAAGCCTTGCCCATAAAAACGGATCCTGAAGAATACCAGGCGACGATTCTTTCTAGTCGTGAAGCTGCAACGCAATCGATCTCAGGCCCTTTCTGAAGAGCTAGGATCAGAAGATCGATTAGGATGAGGGTGTGATCGGCTCCTGTTTCAAATGTTTAAATAGTGTCCCAGGAGGATTCAAGGCTATGCGTCAGTAGTTAGCAAGAATAGACAAGTCACTTCATTGTTACCTGGCGCTCTATTCAAAGGTCCAGGGAGATCATTTTTGAGATTTTCGTTGGCCGACAACCACAACACGCAATCTACCGTCGCGCTTTCAGACCTAAGAATACGATTCAGCTGCGCAAACCCCTAGATTCTATTGTTAACGCTAATTATGCCATAGTTTGACTGTCAACTTCAAAGTTCACTCTTCGTGACTGGAGCCAGGCAACGACACCGTCTGCATTAAACAATTGACTCCAGCTCAGGTGGACGTACCCGCCTACACGCCTGACTTACACTGTGTTGGTTTTAGACCAGGACTATCGAGAAGGGGTTTAAACAAATACGATCTAAAGACAGGGACACTGCCTAAAATACCGTGATATGATTGAAACGACAAACGCATCCGTCTGAATTGGGTTATGCGCGAGTCTATGTGGCGTTCTCGATGGAGCAAAGTAATTTGGGCCGATGAGTCAGGGTTTCGACAGAGAATTTGGCGGACGATTCAAGGTTAAATGGCGAACGCTTGTGCGACGGAAGGGGGGCATCATAACTATTCGAGGTGGCGGTGGCTTCATTTGGATTTCGGGAAAGAGTAGTCCGATTTTCCCTAATGAGAACGCCAGTGTTTTGCGTGAACGAGGTACTGCGACTACATCTTCCCCCACTACTGTCGAACCTGCATGGATCGATTTTTCGGGATGGCAGTGCACCGGCTCGTCGATGCCACACCGCTTACGATCTCAAAAGCTCTCCCAGCATAAGATGCTTCCCGCGGCCAGCATCTCTAGGCTTTTTTTCAATAGACCATTCCCGGAAATCCAAAACTACAAAGTTTTCCCTAATTTGGACTTAGTTGTATGACGGCCTGCAATGGGATAAAGCAACAATAAATCTCAGTTCTCATCAACAGCATATTGAGACGAGTTGGGACTGTAATTTTGCACAAAAGTAGGTCCACTCGAAGTCAATAAATGACCAAACGTGTCCTCGTGGATATACTTAACTTACGATGGAGTCGATCGATCGATTTTAAAGCTAGTGAAGATGGTACGGGCGTTCAATATGGCTCAGTGCAATTAGATCGGTTTAGCGGGGGTCCGTTGATTTGGCTAGCCAAGTCTATGAAGTTAAAAATTTCGCAGGGGTTTCTACCTGCGAAGACAAACCCCCAAAGGCCTTAGTTCTGTTTGGAAACACCGTAGAACGTTGCCACGGCGATGACTACGGCAAACATGTTGCAAAACAAATCGGGCAGTAAGTTCACTCAGAGATAACAGGTGAGGGTCTAATGTCAAAAAAAGTACTAATACCACGCGTCGCAGAATCCAAATAACTTAGCAGGGCTTCCTGACAGGGACACTTACCTACTTCAGGGCACTTGAAGAATTTGTCATTCTTCTCTGTTTCTGAGCAGCCAGTTGTTAAGGGTCGCAGCCAAGTAATAAAAATGGCATACTCGATAGAACAGAGTGATACAGAGGAAATGGAGGCTGCCAACGACGAGATGGAAGGCTTTAAAAACATGGTTAAACTTGAACGAATCATAAAATTATAACGGCAGAAAAAGGGGGGGGGGGGAGAGGGCGCAGTAGTGGGCTAAAAATGAGGACATAACTTTCGACAACTTACAATCTATAACAAAATACAAACACTGAATGATTTGCCAGACTGACGGTACAGGTACTAGCTAAGAACCCAGACACGTGCGTTTCGCCGATCCAGCGTCGCTGCATGGCGCAGCTGTGAGAGGTTTGAAAACTCCGGAAAATGACAACAAAGTCGGCTAGGGGTGAGTGGCAGAAATGTTGGGTTGAAACAACGACCACCGTGGAGCAGGCGTCAAACTTTGATGATATTCGAAAACTCTATAAAACTGTCCGCAAAGTTAATGGTAGGCCTTTGGCACTTAATGACTCTGTTTACGATGTGAATGACGGCTTTATCACTGGCAACTTGACCAACGTCAACCGTCGGCATGAGCACTTCGAACAACTTCTCAACTTCGATTAGCTACCCATTACATTCATGCTCTCTGCAGTGAAGTTTTATCCCTCTCTGGCCTGTGCAGTGTCGTGCGATCCTCTTCTGAGGGAGAAGTTGCCGACGCAATAGAGAGGCTGCAAAACTACAAGGCGTCTAGAAGGGATGGCATTACAGCAGAAATCTACAAACCGTGTGTAGACACTGGCGCCCTGGCTTCATGAGGTGGTTGGGCAAGCGTGGGGAGACGAAGTAGCTCCTACTGACTGGGGTTTGGGCATTCCTGTGCTGGTCTTCAGGAAGGGAGGCAAGACAAAGTGCGAGAACTACCACGGCATAAGCCCCATCCAAGTTGCTGCAAAGGTCTTCGCTGTAGTCCTTCTCAGACGATTCAAGTCTGTGCGTGACTCTAGAACGAGGCCCAACCAAGCCGGATTCTGAGCTTGCTAGCCTCGAGCTTTGGCCATCTAGTCTGTGGTGCCACTGGAGAATGAAGTCGTAAATCACCGTCCTGCTCTCACCTTGCTGTGGAGCACACAGTGGAAATCGTCCGAAACGACGGTCGAACTGTCGAATAAAGTCGTTACTTCGGTCGTTTTATCCAGAGAAGCTGGGAAGACCAAATTGTTTTCGAGCTGCATCCCCGACCAGAAGAAGGCATCACTCGGGATTACTGCCTGTTAAGTCGAAGAAGTACACAATTTCAGATACCTTTGGGTGAGGCTGTTGTCCAATAGGCGGACAATCGTCTCCCGAATCCATACTACTCGCAAAGTTTTCTCAGTCCTTCGACAGTTCTTATGGATCAGACACGACATCTCTGCCGCCACGAAGATCCGCGTGTATCGTGCATCCATCCGGCCAGTCCTCTTCTACGGTTGTGAATGTTGGGCTTTGCGCGTGGAAGATAAGCGAAGACTGGAGATATATGACCACCTCAATCGCTGCCTGAGGATCATCCTTCGAGTGAAGTACACTAACATTGTCTCAAGTGGGACAGTCAGCACTCGTCGCAAAAATATCAGGAGGATATCTCGGACCATCGTAGAAAGACCACTGAGGTGGTTTGGGTGCGCTCTCTGTCGTTTGCTTAACGAGCCCAGTCATACTACCCTCGATCCGGAACCGTTGACCACCTGGAGACGTTGAAGAGGAGATCAACTCAAGACCTGACTAGATACGGTTCGTCAAGACATGGCAGTGGTTCTTAGACACCAGTATTCGGTCACCGTCGCTGAGGAAGAGACTGGGTCGAGCTGTCCGGATCCGCTGCCGCAAATCTTCACGCGTGGAAAGATACAATACGTGACATCATCGAGGCCAGCTAGATCAGGCATGATCGCAGTTCCCCATGTGCCCTCTGGTATACAGACTCTGGTTTAAATGCCGTCCCTTCTTATTTCTTCGGAAACTAACGCGCGAACTTAAAGTAAACCCCCTCGGAACAAAACTTCTAAGGCTCGGCCCGAAAGTTGATATGAACATTTGAGTTGAAATCCATCAGCTAGTACTCGAAGCGGAAGATATAAAACTCAAAGATCAACCAGTGTAAAGAAGGAGCTATTGAGGGTGAACAGAGTTTATTCGTTAGGACTGGTTTTTCTCGCCCACCTATTCCTGCCCTGTTACATCTTATATTACCGTAGGAGCTTAATGGTAAAGTACTGGAAAAGCGACGCTACGTGGGCGGATTTGTAAAATCTATGAATGAGAACTTTTACATGACTTAAGTGTCTATGTTGAAGTCCGAAACAAAACTGATTTGCCTTGTTCCGAGGACTACTCAAAGTTCGTCCAATTTCGTTAGGCTGAAGTACGGCGAGAACTTAGTCAGTCGATGTATTGAGGCGGGTGTCGGTATACAGAACTCTGTGCAGCCATCTCCAGACACGCCGCACTAATTGCTGACTGGTTACATCTGTTGCATGTTCTGCTGTTCCTGTCATCTCTGATGATGGATCCTTTCAAGAGCTCAAACCCAGAAAAGTCAACAAATGGTTCCGATGCCCAACCAGTCTTCTTTTTCCTTACTCAAACCAGAAACAGCCACTTCAGCGCTGCTTGCCTTCGTTGGCAGTATTATTCAATGTTAACAACCACTTGATAATAAACTGGTGTCGGAAGACATTTTGAGAACGCTGAGGGATCCACGGAAGAATCAAACCCATCACATATGCGGTATGTAGCAGAAGGAAATCGGTGAAACAGGTGTATAGGCTTTGGATAGTACCTGGTGTGCCGTGGTCAAGCGTACCTCCTGCATGACTTGGACAGTAGAAAAACCTGTCCCCTTCCAGGGAGAGCACAAGAAAGAGCTGAACAGATTTGAAACAATTCCGTGATGGTGTTGGGGCAAATCAGTCGGCTAAATTACTATCTGCAGGTAATTGAGTACGTGACCGGATGTAAATAAAATAACGCAAAATAATGGCTACTAAAAAGGTAAAAGTACGTTGGGAGATACACTCACATTGCTGACGCAGTCCCAGAGTTCCGTCCGTCTCTGCTCAGAGTCCGATTGCTGGTAAACGCTGAGCAGGAAGATTCGATCGAAGAGTAATAAACATGGATTTACGAGATCAAAAACGTGGAGGTTGTGTGCCATATTCTTGCAGAATCTCCGGCAATTGGTCAAGCCACTCAAATACGAGGTCAACGTGGGGACGGATTGGCTGGCGCACTGGGCAACGGCTTTTCTTAGCATCAAGAACAGAGGGCGTACCTGATAATTACAAGAAAATGTGGAAATTGTTTCAAGTAATAAGACGCATTGACTGACAAATGTGGCGCGTCTCACACCAAATCGACATAGAAAGAACTCGAATGTCAGGCTCAGCCTTAATAACTGCCGTCTACAAAAGAAGTCGGATCTGAACACTTCCGTTGGATCTTTTGTTACTAAGGCTGGGACGACCTGTTAAAGAAAGAAATTGTTTACCTGAACCGGTTGTCCTGTCCCAACTGATACTCGATCAACTTGGTGATGGCTGACTGAGGGTGGAAAATAAGTTCGAATGACCATTCCAGTCTGCTTTATTTCTCACAGCAATGGGTTTTGGCTAAGAAAGTCTGACAGTTCGATCGTGGCGATCGACTATGTCCACCGTGAGCGTCACGGTACAGTGGATGCAAGGGTGCCTCCAGGACGGAACACGTGGTAGATGCGCTGGACCAACACGGGGGTCATATTGGACTCTGGCAGGCGTTCTTGGAGTTGCGCACCATGACAAACGCCAACATTTCGGGGTGCGGTGGCGGACCCGGTTGCCGGCGTACGTCGCACACACTGGGACTCTGCTACTCCCCATTGTTGTTGTGAATCAAAAACCTGGTTATCTGTTATGTGGACCAGGGGGTGTGGAGTGGAACGCCAAGGTGCGGGCTCGACCGTGCCATCCACCTGCGCCCTCCCCCCGTCTCCGGTCTTCTCGACATTGTCTTAACACCGGGCCCAGATGGGGGAGGAGAGAGTGCGGAAGATGCTGTGCAAGTCCACTATCACTATAAACTCAATTTCTGCACAAGTCACCGTTCCTGTTCTCACCCTGCTGTGGAGCACACGGTGGACGTCGTCAAAATCGACGGTCAAACTCGCGCGGATACAAGGACGGAGACCCGCGTATGAATTATTTTATATTGGTAGTAGACTTGTGCACAGTCTACCACACTCTCTCCTCCCCAACCATCCTGGGCCCGGTGTCAAAATAAAGTCAGGAAGATCAGAGGAGGAGTGGAGCGCAGTGAATGACAAAGCCAAAGAGCCCGTCCACGCGTGGCACACACGTCTTGTCCGTACATGGTGGACCAGGTTTTTGCGGAAAAAAGAAAGGGGCTGCCCGGACCTCAAGGAAGTGGAAGTGGTATAAAAGCCATCTTAAGAATGAACATCTCGGGGAGAAACGAGGAGAAACGAGTTATCGCGCCAGTGGGTAGCCTTCTAGTGCACCCTGATGGCTTATGGACGCGTCAGATAGTTTTTAGTGAGGGATGTGCGTTGGGTGCCTAGGGGACGGAGTCCTCAGAGTAGACCTCACTCTCTCTTTCCTCTCCCAGACACCAGTTCGCTGTCCGAGTCGGTCTGGTGCGAGTGGCTGGCCGAGCCAGACAGCACATCTGCGCGTACCACACGCGACCTGGGTTCCGCACAACATGCTAGGTTTTCACACAAAGAGGACAGACGCCTCAGATCTCACATGCTTGAGTGTCATAAAGTTCATAGTAAGAAGGAGCTATTGAGTCTCACTAAATGTCTTTAAGTCGACCACTCCACATAGACACACTGGGTTGACTGTGAGGTCTTAGGTGCATCGTCAGTTGGCAACCTTCCAAACGACAACGCACTCAACTAAGAAAGTCTACGGCGGTAATAGGCAGAATGTTATGACTGACAAAGACAAGGGACACTGGAATGGCCATTTTGGCGTATTAGTCGTCGTCAGCCAGTCATATCCAACCCCGAAGTAAGGAATACCCGGTTGGGCTCGAGAGAGCCCGTAAGGCACAACGGAACAAGTGAGTTCTGTAAGAACGATCGGTGAGCGCCCATCTACCACAGAGGTAATAGCCTACCTGCTATGTATATGCTTGAGGCCACAGAAATTCGATAAAACTACGCAGTCAGAATCCAAGCTAATTAGAAGCAAGTGACTACGCGTGCCTAAAAAGACGTGACAGTACCACTTATGTGAACGTCAAAAAGGATTAGCGAGCATCGATTCGAAATACTTGTTTAGTTTGGAGTCTTCCTGGTGAAGTTAACGATAAAAATTGCTAGTGGAAATGAAGGATTATAAGACGCACTCAAGCAAAGTAACCCCAGAAGGAGGAAAGCAAACGGACATCACAAGGATCCAAAGAACACCAAAGATACACATTGACACAAATAGCAGAGATGGGCAGAGATTACCATGAATTCGGATGCAACACTCGCCGACCGTGTAGATCCGGAGATAGTAATGAGAAGAAAGCAGAAGGCATAATTGAACGACTCAAAGGCAGAGGGATTCAGAGGCGTAATTACGCTTTGAACGGACAACCAGTAGGCCATTCGATTCAATTCCCCTAGAAGCATGCGGGCAGCAGCAACAGAAGCAGATCCAGTACAGCCTCGGTAGGCTTGCAGGGCTGCCCGGAGCAAGCTCGTCATAGAATCGATTTGACTAGGCCTGCACGCATCTACCGACAAGATGGAGTTACCAATCGTCCTAATCGGTCAAACTCACTTTCAGCGTGGACTCCGAAGTCCACTTGAAGGAGGGTGGGTGCGTGAAGAGCAACGACCTTGTGGAAAAACGCACCCACCTACGGGGTTATGTATGCATAGGAAACAAGGCTACAGCACCTACTGAAAGTCTCTGAGTCAGCATTTGCAGGGCAAATTTAGTAAGTTCTCCTATCGACGGTTGCGACTGCCACTCATCCAATACAAATACGAAGGCAAGGCTTAACTCCAGCCGCTGATCAGTCTTCTGCAGGGATTTTAGAAGAAATAAATTACAAACCACCTGCAGGCAAGTGTCAACGAGATTTATCACGTCTGTTGGAGAGGTGTCCGGCCCCAGTGATGCACAGGATTCTGATACAAGTGTCACGACGTGCATGTGTCGCAGAAAAATGGCTGATGGATGTGGGATAGTGCAAAGAACGAAACTTTACCTGGTGAAAGGTACTGTCTGAGGGCTGCAAGGAAGGCGCCATTCTCTGAGAGCCAGGTATTAGTCTACAGAATTAAGCGGACAAAAGGAACAAACTTTTGAAGTCCATGTTTCGTAAAGCTTACTCCTACTACAATCGAGGAAGTGAAGTTCTGTTGGTTCCATTCTGAGGACATTCCTCGAAGGATAAGAGTATTGCCCTGAAAGTACCTGAGAGGGAAACAACGGCGGATGATAAGGAAGCATAGGAAAACTTTGGGATTGTACAGAAAACGCGCAAGAGAGAATAATATGTAATGGTAGACGGGCGCTCACCGAGCGTTTTTACGCAACTCACTCGTTCCGTTGTGCCTTAGGGCTCTCTCTCTCGAGCCCCACTAGCAGCCACACAGCGGCGCATGATGAAAGCAGAATAGAATTACTAACAAAGAAAGGAAAGACCAGAATGGCTTATTAGCTGTCGCCAGCCGGCTGTTCCCAATCCCGAAGTGTGGAACACCTGGGGCTCGATCCTGCGACCTGTTGGCTGGAAGTAGCTGCCTATCCTTAGGGTGTACGAGCTGGTTGCGTAATGTGGTCGTCGGTTTGTGCGCCACTTGTATTTGATGTCTCCTTAGGTGTCTTTACACGAGTTCAGACACGTTTTTAGTGTACACAAACGCTCTCCAGGTTTTCTGTTTGGGCGCCTGATCGAAACAAACTAGTTCCTTGTCTTTTTTCAGACTCTTTCCCCAAAATTCGCACTCCGGAGATTATGCACGCTAGGTAGGATTGCCACTGGTGCTACTGCTTCTGCAATGCCTCACTGCATGCGTTCCGAAATTCGAGGGGCAACTCATGCCAAGGGAGGAATTAACTACCAGCTGAACTCTACAAAACTCTAGTGGTCTTGGCGTCTGAGGCGCGCCGAGACAGTTGCATAGGAAAAAGGCAATGTTGTTGCGATTCCGTTCTCGAATGAAAATAAATCGGAATGCGGTAACTGGGCGGGCTTCAGCCTGATCAATACCACCTCGCAGAGCCTGTCAAGACAGGGGAAACCTGTGCAATTGTCATCATAACAGAGGCCGCGTAAATCCTATGTTACCCTGCCACGAATCGCAAAATATAGACGTTTTAACAGAAGATGACCTTGTGCTTCCTTGGTTTCAATGCAGTGTTTGGCGCGGTCGGTACAAGTGCACTCTGGGAGGCCGTTGAGGTCGACGCGAAGAACAAAAACTGCGCGGTCCGCGCTGACCATGGAAAAGAAGAGGATTGTCGCACTAGTTCTATAACTCTATGTCATAAATGCAGTTAACGGCATCCACGACTAAGAGGGCACCTCGGTGGTGTAAAACCTCTTCGTCCCGGGTTTCTAGCACGTCGGTGTTATTAACCTGTTCCGGAAACCCCTCCTGTAATCCGCCCTCAACCATAGTCATATCTTCTTGTAGATCTTGATTTAAAATGAATACAACCAAAATAAAAACAGTGCTCAGCTCCTGTATAACAAAAGTATTCCGATACTACTAGATGTAGAGAGATTTGATGCGATAAGCAGTTTTTCTTACTTTAACTTTTTTGTGGCTGTCAAAAAACGTGACATACAACCTGCAAGCACTATGCTCTGCCACAAGGCTCTCGAGAGCTGATAATTTGCAGAAGACATAGGCATTTAATAAACGTGATTTCTGGAGGGTACCAATGCTACGGCTGACGGATCATCTCGAATGAGGAACCTCGCCGATTGGAACTACTTCCACAAATGACGCAGTGAAAGGTCGCCGACCAAGATAGACTGGAACAAAACGTAAACGATTGGTGGAGTCTATTTATTGTTGAAATTGAACTCGTGGAAACATTTGTCAGAACCGGTTCAGCCGTCTTAAGAAAATATGTTCAAGGCATCCAGCGGGATCGCGTTCTGTTGCACTTGATCGACGGGAGGACCGAATGCCAAGTCACACCAGTTAACATGTCAACTACGTCTTCAGCTGCCTATCTCAATACCTCGACCAGCCATGACTGGGTTCGGGCAAGGTGACATTACCGACGGCGTCTGCAGCTTTTGTGGCACACGGCTAATTCACCTCAGTCGAGGAAGGAGGTCAGAGTTGACCGTCTGTTTTCACGAGCAGGAGTACAATCGCTTGTTTAGACGTGATCTGAGACTAACTCAGAGGGAGAGAGATGAAAGCCATCTGTGGAATACTTTCAGGCAGTAAATAGCTCCAAGCAGACGGGTGCTGCCTACTTCAACATATAAGAATTGTTTTGATGAAAGCCTTCTACGCCGATGAGTTGGTCTTAGATCGATTTCACATCGGTCCCACGGATTTTCACAAAACTAAAGAGCACCACATGCTCCGCCAATTATATCGTCGATTTCACCTTCACCCTGTCTGTTTGACAGAAACTTCTACCTAGGGTGGCGGGTGTCCAGTAACCAAGATCTGGATTGCATGCCGGACTGAGCAGATAACTCCGACATCGAAAGTTGGAGCAATCTTCGACTTGGAGTTCCTTTTCGGAGCCAGCCAAGATGCATTTGCACCCATCGTATCAGCAGTGCAACGGCATCAGAAGTATCAAGAGTATACAGTAGTCCCTACTCGTGACGCAGGGATGGTCTGTCAACGCGCACTAAGGAGGCTAGTCAATTACGTAATCGGACAGAATTTGAGAGAGGGCGCAGGTCTGGCAGACTTCGGAAGTGGCATTAAAATGGTCACTCTCCTAGCCTGTCATTCGCACTTTCACCTATGCTCTGTGATATTATGCTTGACTAGATGGCAGTATCTTAAACAGCATGACTTCATGCAGCGCGGTTGGCGACATAAGACTAATGAAATGAGCTCCTACCAAGACTGCACACATGATAAAGACTACGTGCGGTATGCAAGAGCACAGCGAAGCGGGAAGTTCTGACAAACACACCCCGGCTGCAAATGAAAACTGCGTCAACACCCTCTTGAGAAGATCAACTGTGAACACTAGCATCAACGTCATCGTAGTTCCCAGAGTGATCTGTTGCCTTTCGGGAGGATCTTTGTGTAGGTGGATTAGCTTTATTTTGGCAAGTGTCAGTTTCTGAGTAAGGGCGAGGCCACGTAAACAGTTAGCTTTGACGACCGAAAATCACTGAGTTTCTATTGGGAGACAGCAGTCACCAGGCGATTTTCGATTATTCAGTTTTGTCATCGCACTAAAGACCTCCGTGAACAAATAGATGTCGCTGATTGTATTCAAAGGACTGCATCTGAGGGGGTCTGACATGCCAAATTTCGGGGATAGGCCAAATAACCACTTCCTCGGCAGCTCGTGGCCGGCATTGATGACATAAGTGCACCGTGGTTATCTTCGGCAGTTGGAGCAGAAGGATTACTGGAAAAGCCAAAAACAAAGTCGGATAGCCTCCCAAAGCTAAAGTTTCCGTGAGGTCCTAGGCGGGTTCAGTTCATAAATTGCTGCCCTCGCGCCATGTACAGCGCGTGGCTCTCTGAAACAAGCACCAATTATCTGGGTCGTCCCAAAGATGAAACGGCCAAGTATTTTTAAGAGTAAAAACAGTAGTCAGACCTGTCCCAAGGCTTGGCATTTTCACTGACTGGGGACCAGAGTGCTAATATAAGATGATTCCATAAGACGATCGATGAAAGGACTGAACTTCGCTAAGCTCAAACGTTCGGTTTTTAGGAGCATCCACCTCACACGCCCCACGCGACATCAGCTCAACTCGTAATCCAGTAATAGCCACACAAAGACGAACGCTGATTGACTCACCATACTAACAGCACGGAAACTGGCCAAAAGTTCACACACGTGGTTCGCCGACTGTATCGCTGCCTTCTGTCTATCTAATTCCGAAGATGGTCCAGACTTACGTCGAGAAAACTGGCGGAGTCTAAGAGATAACGTAATAAATCCTCCAGTAAATTGCCTGAACCCAATCTTTTTGGAAGTGGGTCAAATACGTACCTAAAAGAGCATCAGTGTAAACCAGGGAACGAGGCTAGAACGAGTCGAACCCTCCAGTGACCTTGAAAATCTTACTGTCTCAAGCCCAGCATAACCTAAAAGAAGCGTACAAACCAGCGTAGAGATGCGGCGCAAGACACTCATTTCAAAGAACGCCTGCAGAAACGAAAATGATGGCCTTTCTATGATATAAATCTGCCCAGACGCAAATTAAAAGGCTGCTTGTCGGAGTGGGCGTGAGACTTTTGGGAAGAACACTGTACCGGTCAACGAATCTCGTCCGTTATCATCAGAATTCATGTTTGGGGGAACGACCCAGAGAGCATAAGCCGCTCGCATTCCAGCGGATATCGCGAGGAGCAGATATTAATCAATCTAAGAACAACCACACCTGGATGAACGTGCATTTGCCATAAAATTTGGGCTACTATTCTAATACACACGCCTGCAGCTCCCTTTTTAAATTTCTGTCGGCTCTGACGAGAACACAGTCACGGACCAACAGAGAGGCCGAGCGCTGCGCAACCCTCATCCCACTGACCTTGGTGAGTCAGATCGTAATGCCGCGCAAATGGTTCGAAAGTAAATACTGATCAATCTAAACAAAAAGACGATCCTCTCTTGTTTTAATCATCCCGTAAGCAAATAAACAATGGGAAGGTGGGAAAAATCATGTGGTTAAACTAGGTAACTACAGTGGATTAATTTGCATAGTAATAATAACAACGAGGGACACGCATCAATCAGAAGGCAGAATAAACATCGAGAGCAACAGACCCTAAAGGTAAGAAACTACTCACCATTCAACGGAATGTACAATTGCCAAACAATTGCAATACGGATTTTTAAGGCTAAAGGTGAAGACGTATAAATGAAGGGGAATATGGGGTAGGATCGTCTCGTCGTGGACAGCGGACTTAAGACAAATGTATCTTCGTAAAATAAAAGGGAAACTAATGAAGGAGGCAAACGACAAACAAAAAAAGGAAAGGCTGCGCAGAGCCAGATTTAAAAGCGAACAAAGGGATAGTTATGGAAACACACATTTGTCAAGTGCACCAAGATGATTCAAAACAAGCTTAAATCTTCGGCACATATAAATACAGAGGAGACGGACAGTTTATTTCTTTAATTCAAGCATTTTACAAGGGAAAAATGAACCGTAGGTATGGTACCTTAATATCCAAATTGGCAATATTTTCGCCCTTTTGCCTGGACCGAATTCCGCTTTTGCCAAACTAGACAAATAGAGGGATGTCAACGCAAGGGCGGGTGATGCCACATAAAGGTGCTCTGATTAAATTTGCGATATTTGTATATGTATATGTATATTGAAGGGTTACAGGCAGAGCCCTTGATGACCCTATTTATGTACAGTGCTTTCGCAGATTCATACCCAAAAATAAGATTAAATTGCAGGCATTTAAAATGTGATTGTGTCACAGTTCAATCATAATCATAAGGTAGTGCTTGGGGTCTCTGTAAATTAGTGCGGAAGATTGTATATGACAGATTTTACAAAACTGGCTGTGCATAGTCGTGCTGTACAAGCCGATTTCTGTCGAAAACTAGACGAGCAAGTTTTCTTTTAAACACACAAACTGTGTCAGCCGTCACCATCTCGCTTGGAAACGAGTTCCACGGTCTGACAACCCGCTGGCTGAATGAAAATTTTCGTCGGTCTAAACGCGTGCGCTCATTCTCGACTTTGTGTGCATGGCCTCGTAGTTGGTTTGTACGGGCGAACTCAAAGAAGTCCTCTGCTCTCAATGAGCACCCCTGGCCGCGAACAATCCGGAAGGTCCAGAGTAGACTGTAGTTTATTTGTCTATAAGAGAGAGGGAATAGGCCAAGCAAATTCAGCCTCTCCTGATAAGACAAATGTTTCAGACCGTCGAACATCTTTGTCGCTCTGCGTTGCACCTGTTCGAGTAAGTTGATATCCTTCCTCATCCATGGTGAGGCTGCTGGCCTTCCTTACTCTAGATGAGGTCTTACAAAGACACCAAAGAGTTTTTCGAAAAGTTCGGGAGGAAATATTTTAAATGCACGTCTGATCCAATGTAGAGTACTAGTTGACTTCTGGACCATCTTTCTACAGTGTTCTGATGGCGACAGATTTGTGGTCGTCCATATACCCAGATCTCTGTGTCTTTCAACAGTTTCTAACCTCGTCCCGTCAATATAGTACTGGTGTTTGGGAGAGGCATTGCGGCCGGTATTCAGGTGCAAAACCACGCATTTGGACACGTTAAACTTCAAAAGCCATCTGTTGGACCAAGCACACAGTTTGTTGATGTTCGACTGCAACTTCTCTACGTCATCATCGCATTTGACTTCACTCCATATTTTAATGTCATCCGCGAACATGAGAGCCTCGCAATTCACTTCGCTGATGCAGTCATTAACATAAATCAGGAAGAGTACTGGGTCTAAGACAGAACCCTGTGGGACACCACTTTCCACCTTTACCCATTCTGAGGTAGAATTACTAACGACGACTCTTTGTAGTCTGGAGGACAGAAAACTCCTGATCCACTTAAACATTCTCCCTTGAATCCCTACATCCCAGATCTTTTGTAGAAGAAGCCTGTGTGGGACACTGTCAAAGGCCTTCTTGAAGTCAAAAAATATGACATCTACTGGAAAACTCTTATCGGTAGCTCGTGTCCATTTCTCGTGCGAGTAAAGAACGCTCATAGGCAGGAGCGCCGTGGACGAAAGCCGTGTTGGTCATCACACAATATTTTGTTCTGTTCCAGGTATTTCATCAAGTGTCTTTTGATAATGCGTTCCATTATTTTACACGCGATGCAAGTAAGACTGACAGGACGATAATTTCCGCAGTCAAGTCTTGAGCCTCCTTTATGGATCGGAGTAATGAGTGCGTACTTCCATTCTTCCGGGAGCTCGCCGTCTTCAAATGACTTTTGAAATATTGCGGATAAGGGTTTGCACAGTTCATTAGCAAGTTCACGAAGTGCTAGGGCCGGAATTCTATCTGGGCCAGGCGATTTGGCAGGTTTCAGTCGGAGTAGCTCGGCCCTAAGTATAGTAGATGAAAAGAGTGGTTCCTCGGTTAAGGAGGGTAGGGAGGGGATAGGATGGGGAAGGGTACTGGGAGGAGAGGTTGGTTGGCGAATGGATGGATGGACAAACTTAGCACTAGGTTCTCGGGTGAAGACGGACTGAAAGAAGTCGGAAAGGAGGGACGCTTTAACCTGGTCATCAATCTCCACTTTTCCATCTGCAGACCTGAGGGCAGGGATGAGCTCCTGAGTCCTTTTGGTACTTCGTATATAACCATATAGAATTTTCGGATGCTCCAACGAATTTCGGAGGATGTTTAGTTCAAACTTCTTTCGCAGCTTTGAGGCCTCACTTTTAATTCAATTCAATTATTTTTATTAAAGACCCGTTGGGGTCCCACCAAAGCAAGTAAAAATAAATTTACATGCAAATTTTAGACGATGTAGGCAAAATCTGCACAAAGTGCAATGCATAGTTTTTGAGATTAGAAGTCCGTTTAGCAAAATGAAAATGAAAAAAAAATGAAAAAAACGAGGGGTGAAAAAAAAACTCCAAAGCAAAATTTAAAAATGATTGGAGTCATTTAACAGGAGAAAAAAAACCCTCAGAAAAATAGCATCAGAAAAAAACAGGGAGGACTGGCTTGCATGTGGCGGTGCAAAATGGAATATAGTCCGACATCAACATGGGCGAAATAAATGTCAGCTGTATATGGCATTGCGTAACGGATTTCATAAAATGGTACGTAGGCGGGTCGGCCAGGACTGGCCTGTATCGCCTTGAATAAGAAAAATAAGTGCCGAAATTGAAAACCAGTCTCAAGCCGATAGGAACCCAGATGCGGTCAGTTTCATTCAACCGAGTCCATCCGAGCATGGGGGGAGATGCGACCAGACTACTAGTATATGGCGAATATAGAAGGCTTTGTCAAGACCGCCGATGGAGCGCATTCTGTAAGGGCACGATGACAATCAGTCTCGAGGCGACAAGAACCCAGATGCGGTCTGTTACATTCATCAGAGTGCATTCGAGGATAGGGCAAAGGAGATGCGATCAGATTACTAGTATATGGCGAATATAGAAGGCTTCGCCAAGAGCATCGATGGAGCGCATTCAGTGAGGGCATCATGAAGATCAGTCCCGAGGCGATAGGAACCCAGATGCGGTCGGTTTCATTCAACCGAGTCCATCCGAACATGGGGGAAGGGAGATGCGACCAAACTACTAGTATATGGCGAATATAGAAGGCTTTGTCAAGACCGCCGATGGAGCGCATTCTGTGAGGGCACGATGAATGAACTAAAAAATTGGAATAATTAACATTTCTGGTGAGGGATCTTAGGTAGCGAGACTACTCATAAAGGAAGGAAACGTGAACAGATACGGAAATTTAATAGCGGCATGCTAAATTCCCGGTGGCCCTTTCTCAGTGTCATAGGAAAAGTTGTCTGGGAAGGATGAGGAAAATAAAAGTTTAATCGAGTCAGTATTCAGATAAAGGCGTAGCCTTCTGTTAAAGGTGTGTAGATTTTCTGAAGATCTTATATTTATTGAAAGGTTATTCCAGAGGAAAGTATACCTGGAAGCGAAAAAAGGGAGCGCTTATAGGTGGAGGACGCTGGAAGAGGTATAATTAGAGACGAGTTGCGAAGATTGTATGGGCGACTACTAGGGGTAAGTGTTGAAATCCGAGGAAAATTTGAACTATGATTATTGCGAAAGAGGAGACAGAGGCCCGCTTCTAGCCTTCGAACCCATAAAAATTTTAGGTTAATTAGCTGACATCTATCTGAGTAGGAGATATCGGGATGTTCCCTATCCAAAAGTTTTTTAGAAAAACGTCTTTGGACATTTTCAATTTTTAAACGACTGGCTTCATTCATCAAACCAAAGAATGGGCAACAATACTCGAGAATGGGAAGTACAAACATACGATAGAGCCTTAATTTAATTTCAGGAAGATAGAAATTGTAAGAAATAAAGCCACAAATCTGGGCAGCTTTGGCTGTAATTCTCTCAGCGTGCGGTGAGAGATCAAGATTACTATTGTAGCTTAAACCTAAATCCTTGATGGCGGTACATTCAATCATAGGTGTTCCTTGAAAGACCACAGGTTGGGGTAACCTATCAGGTCCAAAACACATATAGCGACATTTAGACGGAGAGAATTCCATTAGCCATTTTGAGCTCCAAGCTGAGAGAGCAAGCAAGTCAGCATGGATTTGCTCCAGGCAATGAAGACTCGTAGATTTTTTGAAAGAATATACACATTTGAGATCATCGGCATAAATAAATGATTGAGAATGTTTAACTGCGGCCGAAATATCATTTATGTAAAACAAGAACAAAAGAGGACCTAAAACGGTACCTTGTAGGACACCGCTCACAATAGGACTTTCACTGGAAAGTGGAGATCCCACCAAAACCTTTTGTTTACGATTAGACAGGTATGACCTGAGAAAGTCTATTAGTGGACTGCGAATTCCCATAGCTTCCAATTTAACCAAGAGTCTTTTATGTGGCACTTTATCAAAGGCTTTACTAAGATCAAAATAAAAAACGACAACAGATAGATGGTCATTACGAAGAGAGGTAAGTAGATTGAGAAACGACAGATGACATGCTTAACAAGACCGATCTGGTAAAAAACCATGCTGGGAAGGGCTAATAACTTGATTGCCTGTGCAAAAGTCGGTAATTTTACGGCGATAATTTTTTCAAAGATTTTGGCGAGAGAGGGTGTTTTATGGACACCTCGATAGTTCTGTACGTCAGAACGACAGCCAGACTTAAATACTGGAATAATAATAGAAGTTTTCCAATAGTCAGGGAAGAAGCCATTTACGAGAAATACTGAAAATATTTTGCTAAGCAGAGGAGGAAAATCTCTTAGCTGTTTTATCAAAGAGTTTGGGATATTGTCCGTACCTACTGAGTGAGAGTTAGGAAGATGTCTTATCAGTTTTTGAATACATTCAGGAGAAAAATTAATGAAGCTCAGAGAAGCATCAGACAACGAAGGAATTAAAGGGATCGGATCAGTTTCAATGGTGAAATGCTTGGCAAAAAACGAATTTAAAATTTCTGCTTGGCCTGACTCCTCTGTAATGAAGGCATCACTTGCACTAAGCAAGGGCGGAATGACTTGGTGGGACTTAGCAGATGATCTCTGACGGAAGATCTGAGCAACTGATTTAGAAGAATTCACGTCATTAATAGCTAAAGACTCTCTACGCCTATCTCGCTCGAGCCTCATTTTCGAAGCTAATTCAAATATTTCAACGATTCTTAGATGAACTGATAATGAGCTCACAGAAGGATCTTTAAACTGCTTCCGTAACTTTCTAAGTCTGTTTTTAAGGAAGTGTGGGATAGCGGTGGAATTAGCACTCGGTTTGAACATCTTCCGAGGAATAAGGTCAAGAAGACCTTCTGTTACGCATTGTAATAAATTGTTGAAAAAATTTTGATCATTATTTGAAAAAATATTGTGCCAATCAAGAGTGCATGTAAAGTTATTTACTAAATCCTTATTAACATTAGCAAAGTAAAAAATTCTACGTTGAACTGTTGGCTTTGCGGAAAGGGCAACTGGGAGGCGACAATGAATTAATGCATGATCACTTGCAAAGAGGTCATGATAGAAATCCATAGATAAAGGGAAGGTGCCATTAGTAAAAATTAAGTCTAAAACACTATCGTTTCTGGTCGAAGAGTGAACTAATTGAGTCAGGTTTGAAAAGTAAATTGTGTCAAGCAGCTTTTGGAATTTAGGAGGAGAAGTATGTGTGTGCCAGTCAATTTCTGGCAAATTAAAATCGCCTACGATTATCTTGACATCGAAAGAAGTTTCTGCAATTTTTTCAAAGAGTTCACAAAGTTGGCTTTCATTTCCGGAGGAACAAGGAGGATTATATACACATCCGACTAAGGCTTTCCTATTTTGCGGAAGGATTACCGAAGCAAAACATAAATTTCCAGAGAAGGAGGAAATGTCCAAGTTAAAAGGCAATTGTGCAAGTGATGCTCTTATGTAAAGAAGGCATCCACCGCCGCGTCTGTTGGCACGGTCCTGGCGGTATAAACTGAGGCTATCTATGTTAAGTGCCGAGTCTGAAATTAGAGAGTGGGCCCAAGATTCAGTAATGCATAATACGTCTGTGTCAAACTCAACAGCTACACTTCTTAGGTGTGCCATCTTTTGCACGACAGATCTTGCATTGAGAGAGACAATACTGAGCGTATTCCTAATATGTAGGTTCCGCTCATTGCTACTTATAAAAAATGAAGAGCCGGAGGTGGAAAATTAAGCTGTTGGAACGGAGCAATTGGTGGAGGACAAAGTTGCTGCGGTCTAAAATTTATGGGGTAATTACTAGTTAGAGATGCAGCATTAGGTGGAAAAACATTTGAGGAGGACCCAGGAAGAGGAAAACTATTTTGTTGGGTTGGAAAAATAGGAGACAAGAAAATAGGATTTTGGGAATTGTTAGCATAATACGAGGGGTAGTCTATGCTAGGTGGCGGACGTAGTGGTTTCGGGAAACAGTTAACATCAGGAAAGGGCTTTATTATTTGGGGTGTCAGGCTAGCAACGGGATTGGAAAATTTATCAGCAATGCAATATACTTGCATTTTGCAGTCTGATGTGTAAGAGGGCTTCACAACTGTGGCGTTAAGTTGAGAATTCAGGATAGGAACAGGTAAAGACCTCCCTGAACTCTCATCTAGCTTATTAGACCTAACTGCAAGGTCAGACCTGAGTGGCCAGGCGTGGGAACGGGGTGGATTTGATGTCAGTTTATTAACCAAATCACTATTCTGAGTGCTGGGAGCCGGTTGTGCTTCAAGGACTAGCTCATCTTTACTGCTAAGATCAAGCTCCCTTATAAATTTGGGAGCCGCATTTGAACAATCCTTGCTCCGTGGGGGAGTTTTAAAGAGGCTAGTTTTAACCGTCTCTGTGATAAGGTGATCAGTCGAAGAGCTAGATGGAACTGATGCCGCTGTAGATAGTGGGGGGATTTGGTCGACACCAGATGGAGAAACTGCTTTAGAGGAAAAAGACATTTGAGTAGAATTCGGGGGTGGCTTTACGTTTGGTAATGGGGGAGAAATTTTTCGTTGCAGTGGAGTCTGGTCTCGACTAATAAAAAGTTTATTTGCCCTGAGATATTGAGTTGATCGCTCCAAATGGGAGAAAATAAAATCTACTTCTATCGATGAAAAGAGTTTGACAAGAATGGGTGGATTCTTGCTCCTAGATGAAAGCCTTTTAGCTTCCGCGACCCTAAAGTTGAAGCCGCATGAAAAAAGGAATTGAAAGGCGACATCAATTGGCTGTCTACTCTTGGGAACGTTTTTTAATATAAAGTTGAAACTTCGTTTGTGCCTGTCTTCAGTCTCAGTCGCAACCAGGTTAATGAGAGACATGAGCTTCTCACACTGCTGAGACGTAAGCGTTGGCAAATTTCCGTCAAGAGGGGCACCAAGGACAGAAAAAAATTGATCCGCAACGAGACATAAAGTTGTTAAAATCATCAAGCGCCCCTAGATCAATTTTTTTCATATGAACAATGGGTTTCAGATGAAGTTTAGTTTCCTTCAGATTTCGACGAAGGGTTGCTTGAGGTTTCATGCCGAAAACGCAATACAAGACTTAAGTCCAAATATTTATATGAATAATAACTGCCGAAACTTCCAGGATATATGGATGAGGCTATGCATGATGAAACGATTTATGAAAGCTGCAAATATTGGTGGACCAGACAGCACAATTTATACTAAGCAAGTTTAACTCAATACCAGAATGCAAACTAGAAAAAAACGGGCAAATGACAATTTCGTAGGTGGTAAAACAGAACTATGAATAAATCTGAATTGGATAATGAGGCTATGTAGGATAAAATAGATAACAGTATAATTCTTAATAAACTGACGATGAAAGCCGTCAAGAGAGACGGTTTATCGTTTAAAATATAATGTTAATCTATATTTTTACGAGGAAAACCTTTTGTTTATGCAGGTAAGACTTGATAGGATTGAGGCTATGTTGGGTGAAAAACTGCGACAATAGATTTCCGCTTTATGACAAATCGCAGAAACACGACAGGAAGCGAAGCAGACTTATGACAAAAAATAGAAAATTTCGTCAGGCCTACACTGGCCTTCAAGTCCGGGTTTATCCATTTTGGGCGGTTTGTGATTTTCTTTCTTCTGAGAGGACAATTGGAATAAACAATCTCTTTCAATAAGGAACTGAAAGTATTCCAGTTATCGTTTGCTCGACCATGCAGTTCAGTCTCCCATGATATAGCTGCCGCTTCCCTCCTCATGAGAGGATAGTCCCCTTTCCAAATGTTTCTCTCCCACCTCTCGGGTTGGACGGGTTTGGAAAACAGTGAGTACTCGAAGTAGAGCGTGATGTGGTCGCTTGACCCTAATGGCTGTCGGTCCTGCAGATCTAACACATTTTCCTCCTCTCGGGTAAAAAAAAAGATCAAGGCAGTTCGGCTGCTGCCCTTCCCTGACTCGTGTTCCAAAGGTAACATTCTGGCAGAGAAGTTTGTCCGTTGCCCATTGTAGTAGTTTGTGATTAAAGCTGTCTTGCGGCCCTTGTGCAGTCCACGTTAGCCAATCAATGCCAGGAGCGTTAAAATCCCCAACGATAAACACGTCTTTCTTCTCGCTAGCTTGGTACAGTTCGGATATGAGCATGAGGTCTTGGTCAGAAGTATGGTTAGGTGAACGCTACACCACCGAAAGCGTCAATGCTCGGACATTCTTAGTAGATATGGTAACGCTTAGCAGTTCCACATCCCGTACCGGTCTGTGTACATCAGCCATAGCGCTTAGCTTGCAAGTGACATAAATTGTGACTCCTCCTCCTCGGCTTAGTCTATCTCCCCTGAATTGCTGATATCCTCTAAGTGATATTTCTGAATCTGCGATATCTTCAGTAAGCCACGTTTCTGTGAATGCCATAATGTCTGGCTTAATTTCATCAACTAAGTCTCTTAGTTCGTCTGGTTTGTTGAAGAGGCTTTGCACATTTGCGGATATCACCTTCAATGACTGATTCGTTGGAGAGGCCCGGCCTTCATTGTGACGGGTTCTGACCACAGGAAAGACCCCTTTGTCTGGACTATTTGTCCATTTTTGATCTTCAGCCCTTTCTCTCCTCTGCCAATTCTCTCCTTCAATTCTGATCTCAGTTCTCTCATTTTCAGTCTTTCCCTCGGTTCGTAGTCTGGTTGAAAAAACACTTCCTTGTGCGAATTGCGTAAGGTCGTTCTACTTTCTAATAGAAGCGCTGCTTGGGCTTCGTTTTCCAAAATAACTTTCAGGGGTCTTGGGGATGTTTTTAGGTCACGATTTGGGTCCGCTCTGCCTAGTCGGAAAGCTTTTTTAACGGTGAATATTTCCCCATCCTGCAGGACGGCACTGGCGTACTGATGAAGAAGGTCTAGGTCGTGCGTCACTCGTTCCTTCGGAATGCAGGATCTTGGTACATGTGAACGTGTTTGATTTTATCTTGAAATATTTTCCCGAGTACGCCAGTTAAGCCGCATGCTTTCTTGTGGACGTAGATGTGTGACGCACAGACTTTCGTTGGCAGGGACCCGTACACCTGCGGTTGATTTGCGTTCGTCGTCGTGGTTGGATGGAGGCTGAATTAACGAACACAGACGAGGATGCACTGGCGTGGATATGCCGAAGGCAACTGCTACACATGAAAAGGTAAAATACGCGGCTCTATCTGCGCCAGCTAGTACAGGCACGATCACGGTATCGGCAAGTACCTTATCAGCAGTACTCGTCTCAAATCTGGAGTCAGATTGCGTCTAGCATATTCCAGCAGCTTATGCCCACCATGCTTGTAAATTTCGCTAGGACCTCTACCTACTTTTGCATGACGTTTTGGCTGTACGGAAGAGAGGTTACTCCAGAGGCTTAACAAGTTCATGGAAATTCTCACTGATTGCGGCCTGAAAATTAGCATGAAATAGATCGAGTTCTCGGGGTTTGTGATAGGTGAGGCAGGACCTTCACCAGATCCAGGAAGAGTTGTCGCATTCAAAAACGTGAAGGCGCCAAAGAATGTACGTGAACTACAATCATTAATGCGTTTGGTCAGCTAATACTCGCCATCTATTCCGGGGCATCACAGTTTAAAACCACCATTAAATCGGCTACTTCTCAGAGATGTTAAACCTGAATGGTCTGCAGGTTGTCGGGAAGCGTTTGACATGATAAAGGCGGAGATTAGTGGGTGACCAGCACTCTTATATTTCGAAGTGGATAAAGAACCAACCGTCCAGACAGATGTATCTAATTATGGGTTATGTGGCTTCCTTCTTCAGAGGGGTCCGGACGAAAAAACCTTACCCTTGGTGTATCTCGCACGATCCTCCAAAAGGATAGGACGAAACTGCAGTAAAATTGCGGAGGAGGGGTTGACAATAATCTTTGCAGTACAGAAATTACACCAGTCCATTTAGGGTAGACGTTTCCCTTGCACACAGATCCTCAGCCATTTAGGTTATTGCTGGGCACAGATCTTGGCGTACAGCAGCATGCGGCCAAGAGGATCAAACGGTGGAGTACCGTACTCCTAAGTTGTGGTTTCATAATAAATTACGTGCCGACCCAGGAGTTCAGAGCTCCAGACGCTCTATCACGACATAGCGTGGACGAAGGAAATTGAGAAGACATGGTTTTTGCAAGCACTCTGATACAAGACGACGACGAGGTTAGAGGTGTCATTCGACAGGTGCCCCTCACTACCGAACATATCAGGGCAACCACTGCGGCAAACTCATTAAAACGTCAGGAAAGCGAGTTTATTCGGAAAGGTTGGCCAAACGAAAACACGGTGCATCCAGTTATAAAGCCTTTCAAGAGCCGAAAGGAGCACACGTACATCATAAAAGAACGTATAGTGCATAATGGTAGAGTGAGAATTCTCATCAAACATCAACAACTAGTTTTACTTGAACTCCATGCCGGACACCAAAGTATGACCCGCATGAAACAACTAGTCCGTAGGTATGTATATTTAAATAGGAACTGATGGTGATGTAGAATCTTTCATTCAAAGTTCCAGTCCATGTGGACGTGAGGCTAAGAACCTTACAAAAGTACCGCCTTTGCCATGACCGGAGGTGACAAGACCGTGGAGTAAAGTCCATTTGGACTTCGCCAGATCATCCTGTAACCGAATGTTCCTCGTAGTTGTTGATGAATGATTAGTGTTTGGAAGTTTTCGACGTCGTGGCAGCTTCCGTCGAAAGCACAGCAAAAAGACGAAAGAACGTACTGGGAGGTACGGCGTTCCACAGAGGTTATGACAGATAACAGCGCCCATTGCGTCATCACTGTTCCGACAATTGTGTTAGATATTGGGAATCCGAAATGTGACGTCAACGCCACTTTACCCAAAATCGAATGGTCAAGCAGAACGTTATGTTGACAACTTCGTGAGAGCAATGAGAAGGATGAGGAACCCAGACGTTAAGACGGACCACCTCAACATGCTCCTTTCGGCCTACAGAACAACCCCAAAAGCTGGTCTTGGCGGCCAAACACCAGCCGAGAGTTTTCTGGGCTGGCAACCTTATTAAAGACTACAGTACTTAAAATTGACGTCCGAATCTCCAAAATGCCAAAAAATATTTTTTGAAAGGGGGAAGAGGTGTTTGTCCGAAATCACAAAAGTCACGAGAAACCGCTGGCAGAGGACGCCTTCAGAAAGTCGAGAGGTGTTGTCGTGGAAAAGCAAACCGCAAAGGGAAAAATAAAGCCGCATTTGAACCATCTGAGAGGCAGGTTCACCAAGGATGGCCAAATAGCCCTCCAATTGCTATGTAACACCTTTAAGGTCCCGATCCCCAAAGTAGAGACGAAGTCAACGCCACCTCCCATTAGCAAAGGCTGTAGGAAAACAAAACCGCCGAAAAGACTTGTCATAAATCAAATAGAATAGAATGGAAAAGGTTTATTGTAGCGCCCCTTGGGCACTGTCAGTCCCCTTTGAACTTAGGAAAAAACCCAAAACAAACTCATCAATTTCAACTGCACTTTGACTTCATTTGTTTCGGGTGTCTGTTTAGCCAAAAGAGCGCTAATTGAGAGTTTATTTTAAGTTAAAAAAACCTCAGTTCAATGCGGAAGACATATGAGGTCCGTCTTTCAGAAGAAGGAGGTATTAAGCCGACGGGAGCCACAATGGAATCACGGTCTAAATCGAAAAGAACATGTGACCACGCCGTCGCAGCAAGCCAAGCCAGGTGGGAAATGAACGCGGGAACCCAGCCGGCCAGCGAATACGCATGGGGCCCTTGCTCACGCATGAGACCCAAATATTCGAAAAAATTCCCCGAGGGGCTGTCAGCGTTAAAAGCGGTCAATCAACGTGCGAAGCGCCACGGTCAGAATATTCCAAAATGCTCTCTGAGATTGGCATGCCAATGGCCGCAAATTTGGAGAACGGCCAGAACACCAATAAGTAGGTAGAGATGATTAGCTAACGTAGACGCTGTTTTCCGCCAAACAAGAATAAAACGTTTGCTTCCAGAACCCACCCACGTGTATTGGATACTTCTTTAGGTGTCTTTCAATTAATTCGGACACATTCTTAATGTACAGAAGTGTTCGCCATTTTTTGGTTTGGGCGCCTGTTCGGAACAAACTAGTACCTTGTCTTTTTTTAAACCCCTGTCATCTCATGCATCGGTGCACAAAATATCTAGGATACCCAATCTGGGAAACAGTTTGAACAAATAATTCAGTTCTGTTTGCCATGTTTCGTTGTCAGAGCAGTGAGTTTTTGCTCTGTTAAGACGGCTGTTCACGGCACTCCGTTTGTCAGAGATCGGATGATTGCTCTCGTAATGTCTAGGTATGCATACGTATGCATAGACATACTGCTTAGTGCATAGCATAGTAGTCAGTCTAGGCACAAGTATGCTGCTGAGAAATGCACACGGTACATGTTGTCTTCAAATTGCGCGTTCTATCAGTAAAAGATGTACGAGTTGGGGAAGCAAACAAATTTATAAACAAATGTTACTGAAATATATCTGGTAGTATTGGAACAAAGGTAAATTGCCACGCATGGCGCACAATTCTACAATAGTCCAGTTTCCTCTTAATTGCTCCTACAGATGTGGAAGCAGCGATATGCAGAGCATTCCACACTTCAACTCCTCGCAGTTTCGTTGTGGTTGCTGACTTAACAAGTCTCTAAACATAAGACAACAGTCCTGACCTCGAACGATACTTAATTTTTCTATCAGGTATCCTCGTAACGGTCTATAAATAAAAGGAAAGAGATCGAGATTAGATGATTGTGATTTATAAAGTAGTGGTTTTGTTGTACATCGTGGAACCTTTTCGAGGATGCTGAGGCCCCTAACGACCGAGAGTCCCCAAGCTTAGATAGTGAACTCCAGTTGCGGGCGCACAGAAGTCCGGAAGATTTCAGTGACTTCGCGGTGACACCTCATCAACACAGACAGTCCTCACAATATAGCGCATGCACTGGTCGATTGTCTGTTGCCATTTGATGGTTTGCGAGGAGAGTGTACTATGACTTTCAGTATTCCATATCTTAAACGACAGGGCGTGTGTCCGCAACTTATCATTATTTATCAATACAATCTTTGTTGAGAATAAGCCGTCATCGTGATGCCAACACGTGCCATTCTCACCCCCCTCTCGCCGCCCCTCGGTACCCACAGGAATAGGAATGATCCCCCTTAGACCTACAATTGAGGTCTTGCGCCAAGTTCTAGGAAAGCTGTCTATTCCCGTGCCTTCACGCGGTAACAATCGGGAGATGGCACCCAAAAATCCGTTACCTGGAAATAATGCCTTTAACCGCTTATATAGCCTTCAGGCTATATAAGCGGTTGTTGACCTACTTTCACGCACTATTTGGACTTTCCGCAACGGCCTAACATGGGCTGGCCGAACGAACATCGCAGGAGGTTACATGGACAATGATCGTTGTTACCCAACCTTCCCCATCGTTACACACATACACCTGAATATACGGCATACATTCGCATTATGTCAGTTTATTACATTACAAAAACACTTTTAAATAGAATAAGTCTGCAGAACATAGGACAGGAACAGTTCCCAGGCATCCGTCAAAGACATGCCATCGAGGCCAAGCCAAAGACGATACTGTACTACGTCTATGTGAGCTCAGACAGCTCGACGACATACAGGGCATCCCTCGTGGAGTTTCCTTTTCAGTCTACTCCAGTATGCCTCAATGGCATTGGTGTGCCGTCCTTGAATTTCTTTGAGTGGTTAACAGAGAAATGTAGATAACTTTCTGAGGGAAGACGATTATACGCCTTCCACTCGTCCGTTACCATTATACCGCCTTTGGAGACCCATTTTCTAATAGCCGAACGGAGAGCGGGTCAACTTCGATCATTCACCTGTTCAAATAAGGCTTTCTGTCGGCTAGTATCGTATATCCCGATCAGCCACCACCCATAAAACCCCTATAACCACCTCTCCCGTAAGACAGGCTGTTTTGGTTAGACGGATTTTTTTGGGTGCCATCTCCCGATTGTTACCCTTAACGCTAACCCGAACCTAAGCCTGGAAATTAGCGAAATGCCACGTGTATTACAGAGGTTCCCATTTCCATGTCCTGCCAAGGAGAGCCGCATAAACCGACTTTCCGTTAAGTAGTTGGTCCACTGATGACACCAACACCTAGCTGTCTTGTCATGCAGCCAAAGAATTAAGCAAAAACATATGCATGGGTTGTTAGCCTACATCGGCCACACAGCGAACCCAGTCAGGAGTGCAAAAGTCCAAGACAGTGATCACTAATAAACGTTTGCGTCTGCCATCTTCGCATCGGATTACCTCCTCCCTGCATGAATGCTGATTAATATCACACGACATTGTATCACGCGGCCTTAGTGGGGTCACAAGTCACTCAGTAAATCCACAGCAAATAAAATTCCTTAATTATCTGACAGACAAATGCTCATATCTCACTTCTGGTAGTCGTCAGCCAATAATAGTTAGGACATTTCTGCTGCAATCATTAGGAGAAATTCGAATGCCAGAGACAACTACAGTGACGAGTATTCTGTACTTTGTTGCCTATGAAGAAGATCGAACTGCCAGTTGTCAAGCGCCAATACAGGACAACAAGTCAAGAAGACCGGAGGCGGGAGGGGGCACAGGTGGTTGGCACGGCCGGACCAGAATCCAGACCCACACACATCACACATGCGATCTGCTTCACAATCTACATCCTTACGACATCCATCGAGTACATTCTGGCATTCATTACACAGGCTAACCTGTTCAAAACGGCTGCTAGAGTTTAAAAAGAGAGACCACTCATTCGTCCTAAAAATGCACCTTTGCATGCCTGATGCTCATTAAGTCAGAAATTTAGGTCGTCTTCACCATGTCAATCAGGCATAAAACAGACGTAAATCAGTTCTTTTCATTCCA